CATCCATAGACAGAGTAACTAACAACACTTGCCATGATAGCATCCTTGATTTCTCCATTTTTCATATCACAAGTTAAACAATATTGGCCAGCCTATCTGCAATACAACAGGACAAACACTATATGCTACCTATGCTAGTATTAGTTAAGTAAAACCTTGATAACCAAGATAATTAAGGTAAATGTCTAATGAAATGCAACTGGCAGATTAATTTCTTCTAGGGGAGACTAGTTTCTAAGTCAAAGCAATAAAGCAGCTATATAAAATTATCATCTAATCCTACTGTTTAACTTTACAAAGCACCTCTATTATCTAGATTAAAACTATATATAGAGAATCTTGTTGCCAGCTTTTTACTACTACAATTTACTATTTAATCTTATAGAGCACTTTCACTATCTAAATTGATGCTCTATAGGGAGAGTCCTGTTACTAGCTTCTCACTGCTACAATTTACTGTCTAATCTTACAAAGCACCTCTACTATCTAGATTGATACTCTGCAGAGAGAGTCTTGTTACTAGCTTCCTTTTTAATTAGTAATTAGGAGATTTTATAATTAATTTTATTTTAATAATTTTATTAAATAAATTATTTTAATTTCCATTTAATTTATTAATAAAGATTCTATAATATTTAATAAATAATTTAATATTTAATCTATAATTATTATCTTTTATTTAAATTAATTTATAATAATTATTTAAAGTTTAAAATTATTTAAATTTATTAACTATTATTTTTAATTACTTTTATAAATTATTAATATTAAAATTTTATTTTTAATTATTTATTAATATTTTTTTATTTTTATTAATTTTATTATATTTAATAGCTTTGAAAAGTATTAATAATAATTTCAAAATTTTTGAAAAAAGTTTAAAAAAATTTAAAAAAATTAATAATAATTTAAAATTTTAATTAAAATTTTAAAACTATTAAAAGCTATTAATATTAAATTAATATTTTAAAATTATTTATATAATATATAATATTAAATGTTTTAATGAAAAAATATTTTAAAAATATTTTATATATTAAAAATAAAAATAAATTATTTAAAAATTAATAGATCTACATGTAAGTAGTAATAGATATGCATTTTTAACTATTTTATTGTTTAATTATTAATAATCTATACATAATTATAGTTTGCTATTTTTTTTAGTACTTACAATATTAAAAATCTTATTAAACTCTTACTAGATCTGATGTATTCTTTCTTGATATTCTTTTAATGCTTTAGCTTGTTGTTATGTTTTGAAATATATTAGTCCTGGTTTTAATATTGCCTCTTCTTTTAGAGGTATTTTATAATCTCATAGCTTATATCTTGGTAAAATCATTTCTTTTGAATTTTTGAAAAGTTCCCTAAACTTTTTATATCCTAGTAGTATCTTGGTTGTTAGTATCTTTTCAATCTTTTAAATCTATATTATATAAGCTCTATGCTTAGTATCTAATATTTTTTTTTGCATGTATCTAAGACTTATTACTTTAATCTAGAGTAGACTTCAAGATGAAAGTACCCTTTGAAATTACCCAAATCAAAAAACCAAAAACAAAAAAAAAACTAAAAATCAAACTTTAATCTTCTTTTATTACTTTTATTACTTTTACTTTGTCTTTTTTATTATTTTTCTAATTTTCTTTTATTTTATGTTGATGGATGACATCCAGTATCAGCTTGACTGACTCTAGAGTGACCTCCAAAAGCTCAACATATATTCTATGTATTTAAACTATAGATCCTGCCATAGCTTTAGAGCTGCATGCAGAATGAAGAAACAAACAAACAAACTTATTACTTTAATATTTAAGTCTTTTGTTAATTTTTTATAATTAATCTTTGTTTATTATGTATCTTGTTAGAGTTTTTGATATCCTATCTTTTTAAATAACTTAAAACTTTCTAATCTAGGCCTTCTAGTTTGTTGATTTTTTATAACCTTTCTAGTAGAAAAGTAAATAATCTGTTAACATTAGTTAATTTATAAGTTAGTTGCCTATAACTAGTTCATTCTTAAACTAAAGTCTAATCTCATTCCTATATTAATAATATTAATAAAACTATACCAAAATATTTTATCTAGCTATATATTAAGCTCTTTTGTATACATTTTAATGAATTTTTTATTAAATGCTAGTAAACTTTCATTTGTCATTTATACTTAAATTAGATTTTTTTTAAGTCTCTATAGTAAATTTAGCTATTTCATTACCTTGAATAATATTATACTACCTGTAGCTCTACTGTCCACTAGTATATTGACATGTTTTCCTTGGATTTAAACCTGTATGTATACTATATTCTCTAGATTTGTATTTACAAAACATATAGCTATGTCATTCTATTGCTCTAGATTTAGATAGTCCTCTAGTTTTTCAACTATAGTTTTCTTTTAGAACTCATCATTGTACTATATACTAAGCAATCATTTATTATATAGTCTTGCTTTAGTATTTAGTAATGTTCTAGATACCTTGGATCATTCTTTGCTACTTGTTACTCTGAGATATGTAGATAGCATTTGTTTTTTAAATAGTTATATTACTTTGTTTAATGTAGATGTTTGTCTTGTTGTTATATCTAATTCAGGCATTCAATCTTCTAATATTTATACCATGGATAATAATATTTCATTGTTTTTACTTTGATAACTTAGTTTCTCTAATAGTTATATTTTTTTTGTGCTTTCTAGAGTTTGTAAAATAAGTACTCTTTGTAATAAGCTTCAATATTAGTAACTTTAGTTTCTAAGTCATTAGACTCCTTATCTTTTGAAATAAATATTTTTTCTGTCTCTTGTTTATGCTAATGTTACTCATTTTATTATTTTCTTAGCTATTATTCTAGATTTTAATATTTTTACTAATGTTCTAGAGTTCATTCCTCAATAGCATTCTTTCAAATGTTTCATTTAATATTTTTTTCTTTTTTTATTCCTTGGTTAAAGTTATGTTGTCCAACTGCTTGTTTTTAGATTCTTTTAACATGCTCAATTGCTATAAATTATTAATCTACTTCTGGTAATTAATCTTTGTCATTGATTTATGATTTTTCCAGCCAATATTATTTATTCTACTCTTAGAAATCCTCTTTTAGCTTTTTAAATATAGCTTTTTCTACTATTATGCTTGTAATATTCTAGTGTTTCTTGGTCTACTTAATTTCTTTAGTAATTAGAGCCACATACTCTGTTATTTGCTAGTATTGTGCTAGGAATTTATTCTTTTATTCCTCTTTAAAGTTGTCTGGTTCCTGGGTTTGTCTTTGTAGAACCTTGACTTATCTTGTAATTTCTTTCTAGGTTACTTATATTTATTTATTAATTTCCTTCTTGAGCTATTTGATATAGTTTTAGTATTGTTTCATAATTACTTCTTGTAAGTACAGGTGTTATTGTACCAGGTTTTTGTAGATTGCCTTTTAGATCTTATTTTCTTGTTCTAGTCTATTAGATATTTCTAAGTATTGTATGTTTGCTTCTCTAAATATATACTGTGTGTTAATCTCATGTTTTTACCTGTTTTGATCCTGTTAGTATTGGTTAAGTAGTTTGTTTAGTTGTTTACATGCTTTGATAATTAGTAATACTACTATCTTTGCTTTCTCTTTTATTTTGTTAATTATTAGTTCTTCTATAAATTCTATAGTAGTCCCTATAACTGCCTTCAGGTGTTAGGTTTGTTTTCAAGCTTTTTATATTTATTTAAGGTCTAGATCTAGATGGTTTTATTTGCTCTCTTTCTATCCTTGAAGTTTGATAAATTTTAAAAATCTAATTTTTAGGGTCTATATGTTTTTAAATTTTTCATGATTCTTTTGTCTTGATTTATAATCTTTTCTCTAGTATTTAGTTTTTTTATATCTAAGACAAGCTTTCTTATTGAAGCATTGTTGTCTTTCTTTCTTAGTAATAGAATTTCTATATTTTTGTTTTTATATAGTGTCTAGATCTATTGAGTTACTCTTGTCTAGTGTTTTGCTTTAATACTTCTTTGTATTCATTCTATAGCTGGTCCTATATTCTAAATGTTAATACTTCTTTTCTTGCTCTTGTTTATATTGATAATTATTAATTTTTACAGCTAGTTCTGCTATTTCATGCATAGTTTCTAGCCTTTCTCCTCTAGCTATCTTGTCCTTGACTTACTCCTTGAGTTTGTTATAGAAGATTGTACTTGGTAGTACTTGTTTCTACAATACAATTGATGCTACATATATAAACTCTACTATATATAAAGCTGTCAATCTCTTTTGTTACATAGTTTAAAGTTTTTGTTCTACTGCTTGTACTTTGTTAATCTTGCTATAGATTTCTTTAATGTACTTTTTCAATTTGTTGTAGTAGCTAAAAATAAGTGTAGTTTCTGTATCTATTTGTTTGTTTAGTTTGTTCTTCATATAGTTATCTATATATAGTTAAAACTACTCTAGGACTTCTCCTTTTATATACATTCCTGCTACTAAGATCTTGTCTAATTTACCTAGAAAAGTTAATGTATTGAATCCTAGATATAGCTTTATAGCAATAAGCCATGCTTTAAGCATTCTTCTCTTTCTATTAAACTTGTCTAGTACTACTACTTTGACATTGACCTATTGATACTATGTTGTTAATTGAGCTTGAAGTCCTATAGTAATTTTTATTAACATTAAATTATTTTAATTTTTAAGATCTAATCATTACTAATATATAAATTTTTAATATCAAGTAACTTATTATCAATATTGATATATTAGAAAATTTTTTCAAATATATTATATAAATAAATTTAACCACGAGTTTCATTCTAGTACTGTATAAAAAGAATTTTATTATTAATATAAGATTTGTCTAAAATTCATTTGTAATAATATTTTTAATTATTGTGCATGTAAAAGAATTTTAGAATACAAGACGTAAATAGCTTCTTAATTAAATCCATGAGAGATCGAACATCGAGAGATACAAACTATCCTGTTTCAAATAGAAAAAAATCGAACACAAGTCAGAGTTAAGTCTGCATGTCAACCTTTGACTGACCGTTACCCATGACAGTGTTGCTGCTTACGCGCTGAGGGCTGGACTTCTCCATAATAGGCTGAGAACTTGCGATTATTGCTCGCTTACTCTCCTCCTCGGCGTCCTCATCATAGTCTTCATCAACGTCCATCTTCCGCGCTGCAGATTCAACTTGTTCTCGTCTATCATCCCGTGGAGGTTCGACCGCCTGTGCAATCTGTGGTGCGTGGTGCATTGAAGGCAGAGAAGGCGGATGATGGGCAGCCTCGGATGGGTGATAATTGTCATTAGCCTGTCGCTGATCTTCCATACGTCGAGCTGCAGAAGAGCTACGCCTATGTCGTTCTCGAGGAGAGGACATCCTGTCGGGTGGGGAAGCTCTGTGATGGCGATGATCGTCTAGTCTTGCACGATTCTCCTCATTCGCATGTTTCTTGACAGAAGCTGCTTCGTCTTCCCATTCTCGCAGCCTCTTTGGCGCAACCGAGGGGGCCCGATCTTCTCTCTCTCTGGCCGCAGCTTCAGCAGCAACAAGAGCAGCGGCTGGGGGAGGAGCTCCACTAGCGATCCCTCCTGACTGGGATTGAATTGAGGGATGAGGGTACTGTTGGTGAGTGTAGGCACTGCCTGGTGAAGACGGAGCCCTAGTATCTACAATCGGTCTGACTTCTGGCGGGGGACTATGTCCACGTCCATAGGGAGGCAGAGGTCCAGGAACCCCCAAACCATTCGTACCGTTTGCGGCCTGCGCTATGCTTGTCGCAGTTGCCCCGTAATTTGGGTTTGTAATTCGATTTTGCGGGGGTTGAGGCATTTGTGAAGGGGGAGGTTGAGGAAGACTTTGTGCCCCGGCATACGGATTTGGTGCAGAGTGCGTTAATTTGGGAGACGGTGATAGTCCCCTGCGAACCGGCGTATGTCGATGCTGTTCTTGGTATTGCCTGATTGCCTCGGATCTGGGGCTCGACTGACGCGGCTGTGGAGGAGGTCTGATACTGTCTCGCTGATCAAAATGGGTCGGCTGCTGTGGCTGAGGGTTTTGTATTTCTGCCAGTCTCCGACTCCAGTCAGCACCGGAGCCAAGAGGAGCTGTCGCCGGACCAGCAGGCGCAGAAGCCGGACCCTGGGGGCCCCATTGTGGAGCAGGAGGACCAGCAACGCCCGCAGCTTGATAAAGCTGAGGGTGTACATCCTGAGGCAGAGGTGCGGCGGTTTGACCGGGAACTCCGGAGGACTGCCCATTTCGAAGAAGTTGGAGTCGTGCCTTGATATGGACATTGGTGGGATCTAGGTCTGCAGCGCGTTGATAGGCGTCCAAGGCATCATTCGTCTGGTTGTTGCAAGACTCATACTGTTGCGCCCCTTCAGGTTAGTTTCGAGGCAGGAAGCTGATAATCATATCTGAACCACGTACCAGAGTACCAAGATCGTACCACACTTCTGATATATACGGATTTAATCGAATGGCGCGGGAATATGCATCGAGAGCATCGCGATATTGATTGATCTGATAATACAAAACCCCAATAGAGCACCAAAAAGTAGGATTCCGCCCATCGCGGTATACAGCCTGCTGATAGGCTTCGTAGGCTTTGGGATATTTTTGCTGTGACATGTAACAGCGACCGAGCAGATACCAGCTTTGTGCGTCGGTATTGTCTTTCAGGCGCATTATTAGATACGGATTTCCACATGGGAGCGTTGATAGTTAGAGGTACTTACCTGCGCTTACTGATTTCTCGAGATACTCAATAGCTTGCTCCTGGCTAGCAAAGCTGGAGCTCTGCTGGTGATGAAGCCACCCAAGCTGTTGAAGAACCTTAGCATGATGTGGATCTCGCTCAAGGACCCGCCTATAGGCAGCCTTTGCGGAATCATACTGCAATGCATTCGTTAATTTCTAATCAAAACGACACAGATGGCGCCACTCACATCCTTCTGTTGTTCATGAACATGTCCAATTTGGAACCAAATATCTTCTTCAGTTAGGGGCCTAGGTGGATCGGTCACGATGTACTTGAAACACTGACGGAGCCAAATTAGCATTAATTATATTTCAAATCCGTTATCCGTGTTTACCTCGAGACTTTGCGCGAACTTTTGTTGTTGCTTGTAAATTATCCCGAGTCGAAAGTATATCTCATTGGCCTTCTCAAAATCCGGCTGCATGCGCATAACTTGCGAAAAGGCTTCCTCTGCATGCTCCAAGGAGCCGTAGCGGTCATACAGGATACCAATACCATACCAAAGTTTAGGCTCCTGCATAGATCAGGGTAATTAGTTTCCTCAGCTGATGTGGTAGTGGGAATATTCTAACCTTCGGGTCCCGCAGATGATACAAAGCTTGTTGATATGCCGAATAGGCTTGCTGTAAATCATCCATCATCAAGTAACAATGACCTTCAAACACGTCAGCGGAAGAAGCTAGCAAAATCGATGATGCGAGAGCAGCATACCCAGGCTACCCCAAACTTCGCCATTATTTCCTTCTATCTTCAGTATATTCTGAAGATACTCTACGGCTTTTGGGAACAATTCCTTGGTCCGAAGGATACAAGAGATGGCATTCATTGCAGGAACAGACCATTGATTATGGCGCATTGCCTGCTCATAGGCGTTCATGGCACCATCAAGGTCCCCCATAAATTCTGTCAGGCTGCCTATTTGGGAGTCAGATGAATCACTGATAATGGAAGACTCTAGATCTTACCAATTTGGAGCCATACGGCCTCATTGATAGAAGCGAGGTGCTGTGAAGCAGGCTTCTGTTGTGGTTGTAATGGAATATGTCCATTGGGCTGAGGCGCGCCCGGAGGCCCGTGATGAGGATGCATACCACCCGTGGGAGATGGCTGCGGATGAGTAGACATTGGTGGCCGAATCACTTTGACAGTGGTTAAGCTGATTACGAATTTCGAAAATAGATTGGGAAGATCGCGCTGAAACCTCTAGAAAGAAGCTTGGAAACTAGAAATGTTGAGGTTTAGAGTCGCAACGTCGAGGCTCCCAAGGAAAGTTTGACTGCACGCGGAACTGCAGCAGAGGTGTCGATAGCAGAGTTTCTGTGATATACTGCCGACGATATTGATATGTTGACTGCTTGTCCGGAAGGAAAAGGTTCGGGTGCAAATGGTAGAAACGGAACTATAGAGGTGACAGTTGTAGACGGCGAGATCAAGGCTCCACAATATCGTGGAGAGCCTTATTGCGGTGCAAAAATGTTAAGATTCCCACAAGCGACAGCAAAACTGTTAGATGCTTGAGTAGTTGGCAGGCTATGCAAGCAGCTCAATCTGTTGATGATATAGCACACGCGAATAATGAGAGGTGTATTGAAGTGCTCAAGAGAAGATCACAGAGAGCTGGGAGCAAGACCCAAAGAAGACCTATATGGCACTGCTGACAATGGACAACAGATTTGACTATCAATACTTTGGCGATGAACAAGAAAGCACGATATCATCACTATCGTCGACGTCGATGGTGCAAGCGATGAGGAGCGAGAGAAGTGCGGAAGGAGGGAAAAACGGGGGAGGGCGTGAGCGAGAAGGCGAAGCCGCTTGAGATGGATAGAAAGGCCTGGGTTAGGGTTATTGAGGTCCACGATGGACGCTACTTTAGCAGATTGCAGCTTACCTGCGGATGACGGGAACATTGGCGTGGCGCGCGACCTTACCGAGCTTGCCAGCCCTTGTCCCATTACTTTAAAAGCAACGTGACGAAAGCGCACGGGGAAAGTCTATCTACTCTTCTTTAAGTACAAACTTTTCTTTTATCGCTGTCAGTGCCGCCAAGTTATCAACAGAATACTTCTAAAAAAGTAGCTCAACTTATTATGCCTGTCCTGCAAACTACTCTCTTTTGAAGCCTGGCTCGCTTTGCCCTCCCCACCATTCTATACACGATTTTTGCCAAATTCCGCCGACCCCTCGCCTCAGGGGTGGCCGCCCATCTCTTTGGCGAGAGTCCAAGATGGTTCGTTTCCAGCCCCAAGGTCGGCACCTTAGTCCTTCATTTTGGGAGAATACAGCGAATGTCGTTGCACTGCATACTGGGGTACAAGTATTCGATTTTTCTTGGACACTGAGCTCTGTCATGAAGTTTACAGCATGATTTCCTTTGCCCAATCAATTCCACAACCATGCGTAGATATGGAAATACCCGATTATCGTCATTCGTCAACAACCGTCAACAACCAATGAAGGAGTAATTTTATCAATGCTAATTTTCTGTACCTTCAATGCTCATGTTTGTGGCTAAAACTTTTGGTCCAGTAGAAATATCCTTAGATATACTTACCCTATCCACCGAGATTGTTTATAAACTTAATCCTATTGTATGTAAGGTAATTACGTAGACTGTATTCTTACATGAATGATAATGTCATCTATTTTTTCATGCTGGAACTTTATAGCTCTGAAAATCAATTAATATCTCTAAAGTATAATAATCAAAGCTTTGAGACTCCTTGTATTGCGAAAGTCAAGGGATACTACAGACTCACAATACGAATTTTGAATTGCAGAATACCACGAATTATTGATGGTCCGTTAATGAAATATAGGTAGGTAAGTTAACAGTTGCTAGATTGCTTGAGTGTACTCCTCGTTCGTAGCAGGGTAGCTGTATAAAAATAGTTAGCTTGCAAACAAACGAATCAAGTCACGTGATGGGACAAGAACGCATTAGATGAGCATGTAATTCATTGCTTTAAAATTATTCCGATCCACTGGGTTGAAAACCAGTACATACAGATGCCACTATTGTAAGCAAGAGAAGATTAAAATTATCCCTCATAAACTTCGTTGTTGTTATCTTCCATTGACTTGAATTTATAATGTATCCGAAGGTTCTTGCTCACGCTAGAAGGAGTACGTAGCGCGTAAAAGATAGGGTCTGAGAACGACTTGTATTTAACTTGAATGTTAATAATGTACAGAAGCAAAAATTTACACATGTTGACGGTACTTTTGAGCACCATCATGGTTAAGTTCGTAGACCCTAGAGGCATTTTGCTATAAAATAGAGCGCTAGCACATTCCTTATTATTGTTCGTTATGGGTACGGGTAAACTATGAGGACACTAGCGTATGTGCTGATGTATGCCGGAGAAGATTTTGATCGATACTTGCGTGTAGGTATTCCCGGTGAGAAGTTTGCATGGTTTTACTTCGTATGGTTCCGTTGCAATTCCCAGTTGGGTGTAGACTGAGCCCTAAAGGTCCAGAGTTCGGGGGTTGTTCGCTAAGGGGTTAAGCGAGGCCACAATGTCAAAATCCATAGCATCGAATTCTTCCTGAACACCAGACGACAACAGCAAGCACCTTGGGCGACACAATGTCTCACCGTAAATACGTGAGTGGAAGACTTCCAGGGAATGATCATGACCGCTAATTAAATTAAAGGAAGCTCCCCGTCACGGCAGTTTGGCGTACCTGCCACGGAAGCGCGCCAGCCGGCACCGAGGCAAGGTCAAGAGGTTAGCCATTTCCATCCTTAGGACTAGGTAATCTTCATATCTGACGAAAATTGGCAGCTTCCCCAAGGATGACCCGAAGAAGCCTGTTCACCTTACCGCTGCGATGGGTTATAAGGCCGGTATGAGTACCATTGTCCGTGACCTGGACCGCCCTGGTGCGAAGATGCACAAGAAGGAGATCGTTGAGGCTGTCACCGTTATCGAGACACCTCCGGTATGTCGCACCCGCGAACTTATGAAAATACGGCTATGATAATGTCTAACAATGGATTAGATGATCGCTGTTGGTCTCGTTGGTTATATCGAGACTCCCCGCGGTCTTCGTTCTCTCACCACCGTCTGGGCCGAGCATTTGAGTGACGAGGTCAAGCGTCGCTTCTACAAGAACTGGTACAAGAGCAAGAAGAAGGCTTTCACTAAGTACGCCAAGAAGCACTCCGAGAACAGCGGCGCTTCGATCACCAGCGAGCTCGAGCGTATCAAGAAGTACTGCACTGTTGTCCGTGTCCTTGCCCACACTCAGATCCGCAAGACTCCCTTGAAGCAGAAGAAGGCCCACCTCATGGAAATTCAGGTCAACGGCGGTAGCGTCTCCGACAAGGTTGAATTCGGTCAAGGGCTCTTTGAAAAGCCCATTGAAATCAGCTCTATCTTCGAAAAGGACGAGATGATTGACTGCATTGCCGTCACTAAGGGTCATGGTTTCCAGGGTGTTACCAGCAGATGGGGTACCAAGAAGCTGCCTAGAAAAACACACAAGGGTCTCAGAAAGGTTGCTTGTATCGGTGCCTGGCACCCATCCCACGTCCAGTGGACCGTGCCCCGTGCTGGTCAGATGGGCTACCACCACCGTACCTCGGTCAACCACAAGGTCTACCGCATTGGCCTTGGCGAGGACGCTGGAAATGCCTCCACCGACTTCGACGTTTCCAAGAAACAGATTACCCCGTGAGTTCATATCTTTTTTCCCGTAATACATACATAACTAATTGTGATCAGCATGGGTGGCTTCGTCCGCTACGGAGAGGTCAAGAACGATTATGTCATGCTCAAGGGCTGTGTTCCTGGTGTGAAGAAGCGGGTTATGACTCTGAGAAAGTCGATGTTCACTCACACCAGCCGTAGGGCCCTCGAGAAGGTTGACCTTAAATGGATCGACACTTCATCGAAGTTTGGTCACGGTGCCTTCCAGACTCCTGCCGAGAAGCACCAGTTCCTCGGCACCCTCAAGAAGGACCTTACGACCACTGCTTAATTTGTTCTCATTACGTCCTCTTTTGGAATGGTTGTCAGTTAAATTACTCCGTTCCAGTACTCTTTTTATTCTCAAAAAAAACTACTGTTGTCGTTAAATAGTCAATGTCAAAAGAACAGTGAATTGAGAATTGTGAAAGATCGAGATTTTGATGTTCTTGAAGAAATTTCCACTTTTCTGGAAATACTAGTAGTTCATATAGCTGCGCTTGTGAAATCTTATAGGACTTAAGCATGAGCTTAATGCGAGCTGAACTTTGTCCGATTGCGCCTTCAGTAATGACAATATAGGAACAACGAGCTGACACTCTGATGAGACATCTGCACGGTAACTTCCGCAATACACTCTGGACCGTATGTGACGCCATGGAAGGTCCTTTTCACTCCCAACTCTGCAATCCTCCATGCCGATATCTTAACAATTCAAATATTTCTCCTAACAATGTCGTCTGACGAAGAGTACTCCGCTTTTCTCGAGAAGGCGAACCAAGACACAAATCTCACCAAGGCAGATATATCCAACCCTGCTACCAAGGGAGGGGCGCCGGATGTACCGCAGGCCCTGCTCGAACTTGACGAGTATTACGTATCAGACTCCGATGAGCCATTCGAGCCTTTCAGCTTTCACTGGGACGGACCACATTTCCCATCCATCGGTAAACGAGTCCCGTTGAAGCTGCACACTTCCTCTACTCCTTCATAGACTAATTTGCGAGCAAAGAGGAATTCAAAAGCCTTATAGATTCACAAGCAGAAATTACGACGCTCGATGCTGGCGAATTCGATCCTAGAGGCTACTATAAGAAGGTGTTGTCTGTGATTAGCGACTTGGGCGACGGCGATTTGAAAATATATCGGGTACAGCACGACAATATTAGAGCGGAATACTTTATTATGAGCCGTATTCCAAGCCTCTCAAAAGTCATAGGTGCGAAAGCGAGAGCTGTTGAGACTTGATGATCAGACACCCTGCGTGCCTGCCTAGCAGACTTCTTCGTGCCCAAGCATACATAAATGTTGAGTTCCTACGGGACTCGGCGCTAGCATAATGACATTTTCGTCGTTTATGGTATAAAATAGGTTTCATAAGCTGTACCTACACGGCCTTGATGGGCGACTGCTAGCATTCGTAAAGAAGCTTGGAAACTCTTTCCGTATATCTACAACATCTGTCGACGTTCGGTTCGTTCCGTGATGTCAAGCGCCACAAGAAATAGTTGCATCCCAATATTGTAAATTGAGGTCCCCAGCACGAAGTAGACCCTCTCCCTTTCCGGATTTAAACAGCTTCGCACGGCATCTGCACAGGAGACTCATTGGGGACAGTATACGGACAAAAACCTGAATTTTTTTGAGGGTTGACCAGCACATGTGATAGATGTATTGGACTGCTATCGTAAATTTCATAGGTTATGGGATGTCTCTGGAGACCTCTTGATCTCCAGTCCACCTTGCCAATTGTCGTCCAGCATGCCTTGGTCGCCTCTATTCAACGTAATCATTAAATAAACGTCCATGACAGTAAGACGCGCTGGATCTAGTTCCTACCCTACAATGGTAATTCTCCGATGAAATATCAGTTTCTAAACTTTACGTGGGGTAGTGCAGAGCATCTCGGTCTTTCCCTGCAAATTTTATATCCTGATTACCTTTTCCCTGGTGCTGGCAGGAAGTGGGACCTCGGGGGGCAAAAGTGCTTTGCGCAGATTCATTCCTATTTTTAACAGTGGGTAAGAGAGACATACCTGTGTTGCGTGTATCGGAGTACTTGGGGGCTCAGTAGATGTACTGGAAAAGTAAATCAAAGCAATACATGCCGCCACCAGTTACCATGCAGGAACCGGCTTTTGCAGTAACCAATCCTTCCGGAGGGTTCGTAGGCTTGTCCAAGTCCCGTGGGAAAGTGACGCGTTAGGCCTTTCGTCTAGACTCTTCGTGGTATCGCCAGCATTGCAGGCCCACCCTCCGAACCCCTTGGCAGCCCCTGCCAATTCCTCTTTTCGCCTTCTTCCTTTCGAAACTTTTCGCTCGGTCGCAAAATTGGCCGTGGACGGTGGCCAGCGCTACTCGAGTCTACTTCCCGAGCACTGTCAACTGCCTTGATTTGTGCCTATTACCCCCGTATCGCACTGTACCCTTTTGGTGTGGCCTCCCCCCAAAGGACCCAAACCAACGTTTGACGTACTCGCGGCTCCTCCTGGTTGTCCATCTTCATTTCAACATCGACACAGACTTCTCTGTCGCTCACTTGCACACAATTACCCTGGCGTTGGCACGGAGTCGATTGACCGCGTTCTACTATAGTCGGTCTTTTGTAACAGCCCTGCCTTTTTTCTTTCTTTTATTTCCCATTCGCTGTCTCAATCTTTCCCGCCTCCTTTACCTACACAGTTCAATCGCTCGACTTGAAAAGGAGGTCATACCGAATCTCAGTTTCGCCTCTTCTCGGCCTCCGTGCCAAAGTGGGAGAAGGTCACTCCTCACGGAACTTTGAGGGTTGTTCCCAGTGTCCAGCAAGGAGGGAACCGTACCGCGAGGAATTGTGGCGCTGCGAGAGTCATTTCCACAGACGTAGTACTAACAAACAGCACCAAGGCTGGATCCTTTTTGTTGTTTCGACTCTGGCAACATCGCAGTCGCCTGTATCTTGCATTCCTGACTGGCAAAGCCAACTCGTTCTGCACTGGCTTCACAAGAACATTGTATCACGGCTTCGTTATGTCGTCTCTCGAATCTCCATCTGCGCGAGATCCCCCGCACATTCGCCTCAATTCTGGGAACGAAGATCCACTCATGAATGAGCCTGCGGAGAGTCCTGTAGGGGGACCGGCCCGACAGGACTCTGCACGCTCTCTGATTCCTCAACGGCCTCCTTCAGTGCCATCAATTACCGCATCTCTTCCTGGTTCAAATGGCCTCTATACCTCACCTGGTGTTGCTGAATCGGCAGAACGACTGTTACCGCCGAAACGTTCACGCACGCACAGATTCCGTGATGATGATTCTCCTGCTCGGTCGCCAGATCCATCGGGCTATTCTTCGAGAAGGACGAGTTGGAGCTCAGAAAGCGGCAGCCGTGATAGCAGAATGGGCCCTTTCGCTTCTCCATTTGATGACTCTAGAGCACCTTCCCGCGCTGGGAGTGATGACGACAACGTGAATACACAAACAGTATCTGAAAAATACAATATTCTGCCCTCTGCTGGTCTGTTATTATTTCCAGAAGACGTGGAGAAGGATGACTGGCTGCACAATCCTGATCCGAACGAGAAAGAACCAAGGGAGTGCGATTTGTTCTCCAAACGAGGATTTGTCAATGTTGGTGGATTACTCTTGATTACTCTTGGGCTTTTGGCTCTGTTCATCGCCTACCCCATCCTGTACGTTTGTCCTTTCTCACCAGGTTCTAGCCGTTGTTTTAACCGCATCCCGTCGGCGGCTCACTTTATCTTTGCGCAATTCTAACTACCAATTGGCAGTACTTTTGTACAAAAAATAAATTACTCCAACCATACCTGCGCCGCAGACCCAGACTGTCTAGACGCCGACAGCATTCCTTTATTCAAGAACATCCGCCAAGGCCTCATTGATCCAACCACGCCTGACTCAGCCAAAACGCGGACCAGTGTCAATGGAAAGACAATGAATCTAGTTGTTAGTATTTTATGATCGCGTCATTGACCTCCGTTCTCTGACATGTTTCAGTTTTCTGACGAATTCAATGTTGACGGCCGTACCTTCTACTCCGACGACGATCCATATCTCCAAGCTGTTGATCTCTGGTACGGTGTGACGCAAGATATGGAGGTATGATATATCAATGCAACTTCACATGGATCGATTTTAACTCATTTTATAGTGGTATGATCCTGATGCCGTGACTACGAAGGATGGTGTTTTAGAGCTCCGGTTTGACGCATACCAAAGCCACGGCCTCAACTATCGATCTGGGATGGTTCAGTCGTGGAACCAGATGTGTTTTCAGGGGGGTTACATGGAAGCAAGTATTTCCTTACCGGGGCGTGGTGATACTATTGGTTTCTGGCCTGGTTTTTGGGCTATGGGTAACCTTGGCCGACCCGGTCATGCATCTACCACGGATGGTCTCTGGCCGTACAGTTATTCCGACGTCTGCGACGCGGGTATCACGAAAAATCAAAGTGCTCCTGATGGAATAAACCTGTTGCCAGGTATGAGACTACCGGCATGTACTTGCAGTGGTGAAGACCACCCATCTCCTGGAAAATCTCGAGCGGCTCCCGAGATTGATGCCCTCGAAGCGAGTGTGACATTTCTCGGACCAGGCAATCAAAATGGTATCGGATCTGCGTCTCAGAGTGCACAGGTTGCCCCTTTCGATATTTGGTATCAACCGGATTACGGTAAGAGCCGACCTGGATCAATTATTCTGCTCAAAGTGATTGACCTTCTATATCGCAGACTTCGTTGAGCTTTATGATCCTTCGATCTCTATGATGAACGCGTACCGTGGAGGTGTCTACCAGCAGGCTCTCTCTGGTGTCACAAACCTGAACAATGACTGGTATGACGGGAAAGCATATCAGACCTTCGGTTTCGAATACACACCTGGTGGCCCCCCCGACGGGAAGATCACATGGTATGTTGGGGAACAGAAGACCTGGATGTTGGACGCCCGAGCCATTGGCCCGAATGGTAATATTGGCCAGAGATGGATTCCTATTGAACCCATGGCCTTGGTGATGAACTTCGGCTTGTCGCAAAGCTTTGCGATGCTTAATTTGACAGGATTGGCTCCACTGATGCCGGCAAAGATGAGATTCGATTATGTGCGTATTTACCAAGAGGAGGGCAGTGAGAGTGTTACCTGCGATCCTCCTGGCTATGAGACGACCGAGTACATCGAGAATCATAAGGATAGCTATTACAACCCAAATGTGACATCATGGTAAGTCTACGAAGAACTATGAAAACCGTATTGATTTCTAACTCGTCAAAGGGATCAAACTTCACATTCGTGGCCGAAGAACAGCTTTGTGAATGGATGCTAGCTGCGGCCGGTTCACCTCAGTTCTTCATTCTAAATTCTTGTTAATTGTTTTATCTTCATCGGCTTCTTTCTAGGCCGATGATAATTGCGCCGTATGCAAAGGAAACATTCGCGTTGACGATCTTTCGCACTTTGCGCGTGCAACCTCTTGTTCTTTTCATCGTCCTATGCATAGCGGAGTTGGCGCTCTTCGTTAGCTTTGGTTACGCCTCTGGGTTCCATTTTACGAGCAACAGTCAAGGAACGCTCACTGTCTATTATTCATTTTAGTTTACCGGCTTGTGATATATCTGACTTTCTGTCATGCACTTTTCTGTCTTGATTTGAATCACATTTTCCGGTTCTTGCATCTGTTTTTAATCCTAGAGAACTACAGCTAGCGGATCTTCCGGCACTATTTTTGATGTGTCATTACAAGCTCCACATCGCGAAGACGGATTTATGCGTGAAGTTGGACCTCAGGCAGCTCCGCGCTGGTATTCAGCTAATGAGATTATTACATTACCATGATCGACTTGTTAGACAACCGATATAGAGTTGTTGCTGATGGAAGTATCCTTTCATAAATTTAATTTACACAAATATTGACCTTCAATCATTGATGTAACTCGGGAAAAATGTGTGCCCATAATCATTCAGTTCAGAAGTTGAATGAAATTAGTATAGTAAGTTTGTATGCTTGATACCGCTTGTTTTATGTCAAGGGAATTACGGGCTTCTAGAGCACATTGCCTGGCCGATTGGCAGTGGTGGATGATTAGACGCTCCCTTACTTTTCAAGGCACTTGGGCAGAAACCGTGGTCCACGTATGTATGTACATATTTATGAAACGCCTTTTTCTTCTCTTTTCCTCCCTTTTTTTTTTTTTTTTTTTTTTTTTTTTTAAAGCTTGTATAGTGGTGAAGTCTTTCTTCGTACTTTTACTTCGTACCATATCTGGGGTGGAGCGAACTGTGGCTGAACCGCGGGAACACAGCGCAGGCAACTCCCACTTTCAAGGGTTGCTGAATTTTCTGCTGATAACGCTGGGATTACGAAATTGTATTCCGGAATTGCTTCTATGGACTCTGGTCAAAAATATGAGTGAGTAGCGCCGTCAGTTAGCCTTGTCAGATTAAGCCAAGCAAGATTGATTGATTGTAGTGTCACACTTGCCTGTCCTTGACGTCTCGTCTTCTTCCGCCAAACGTGTAACCTAGCAACGCGGGGTATCGGCACCCTGTCGAATCATTTGAAATAGCTTGACCAGGCGTGGATGTGCTCAATTAGGTTCAGTCAGCACGATAATACCTCTGTACAAGACACCAAGACTGCGTCGTTGCTCCGTGCCAGCTGTGCATTACTCTTGGGCGGCTCCTTAGTGTCCCCATTTACAAATTTCACAGACTACAGACATATAACTAAAATCGGAAAGTCGGCCATCTTCCGTTCTTATCTCATGATGAACCCAGCAAGCACATTAGCGCAACAACGGCAGGCGCGGGGGAAAGAGATAGAGGAAAAGGATCGTCATGCGACAGAAGCAAAAGGCAAGAAGAGAGTCAGTTATGGCCACGACGAAGAGGATGCCGGCAGACTCAAATCTGAAGATGAGCTTTTTGAGGAACGTGAGAGACGACACACGGCTGCTAGAATACTTGAGAGCAATGAGTTGCTCATCTTCCATTCTCATGCAAATGACGAGGTATGTGATGCCCTCCGTCAATTCTTAGATTAGCCGATAAATGAGGAAGGTTTTATGTGGGCAGTTTTTGCTTGCCCTTTCCCTATCCTTTCCAAGGAGAGAAGCAGACTGTCTTCTGCTCTTTGGAGTTGACGGCTGGAAACACGCGCAATGTAAGCAAGAAAGACTGACAAGAAATCTTCGCTATTGACCGCAGAGCATCCCACAAACGCGCCTTCGATTTGAGAAGATGATGGTCGGGCTCGAGCCAGATGGATCCGACAATGATTGGGAGGACGACTATGAAGACGAAGGGAGTGAGGGTGCCAGCACTGGAACGTCGGCTAGCAGGACTGGCGATAGGCAAGAAGGCGGTATCAGGAAAAGGTTGAGATGATGATAGAAGATACCATTTTGTCCCCCCCCCCCAATTCTTTCTCCATTGCTTTAGGATATCCAAGCGCTGTCACGAGGGCTCAAAGTATGTCTGTACGAGTTCCAATCAAATTGTATTTCTACTTGACAATCTATGCCACCAGGTGACCTCCACGGCAAATCATCGAAGGAGGTTTGCCCACAAATGGTCCCAATTACAAGGTACAAATGTATCAAATGGTCTCCTGACCTAAAGCTGCTCTCCCATCCCCGAGGAAGACATGCGCTCCTCGTTCACCATACTCTCTGCGTCGCCGACCTGTTTTCGCTCGCTGACTTCGCGCAGCCGTAATGTTGACCTCAAAGCTCGTAGCGTCGTCAATCCCTGAGGAGAGGCACCTCTCATGACTGCTAATTGCTATTGCAAAGGTTCCGAACTCGATGATAACCGATTGAGGTGCAGGTATACATCTGTTCCATAACTGCATCATTTACGAAAGATTATGATCAGTTTCCTCGCATCTTGATCTATACTCAGAAGGTCAAAATCGACTTACCCTTCCATACTAATGAGCTTCAAATCACCCCCAAAGTATCTTGCATAAAGCCTACTAATTGGCAATCCGTACCCAAACCCGGCCATGGGTGCTTTGAAATCACTCTTGTCGAAGTCGGGGTCCAGGTTTGGCGTTGACTCCACGGTCGTGTACATATATGTCCAAACGAGAGGAATGGCGGAGCGAGGAATACCTCCTCCTTCATCGGAGATTTTGATGGTGATATCCTCTTTACCCTCCGCGACGATGAGCTTGATCACTGGAAAATCCTCCTTCTCTTGGCCATGCGTTTCTACCACCGCTCGCAGCGAGTTCTTCAAGGTCTCAAAAAGCATATGTGACAAGTGTCCGGGCACATACATAAAATTAAGGTCGGGCTTGCAGACGAGTTGTACCTTTGGCGCATCGAAAAGTCCATAATGATCCTCACAGACAAATCGTGCATTCTCGATTGCCTCCTGTGCAAGTTCCCGCACATTGGTTTTGGTACAGATGATGCCAACGTAATTTGGCTCGCGACAGCTCATTTGCTCCGTTAACGCGACGTGCTGTCCAATGAGCATACGGATACCAATTCGAGACATGTAGAATCGATCTAAAAATGCCTGAATGTTTCTGTCAATCTGCATGCGTTGCCGTTTTCGCTTGTACTCGAGGATGCCCTGCGCTGTTTTACACAACGAATCTCGTTAGCTCCGTTCGACCGAAAGAGACAGCAATGAAGAAAGCTTACCAATTGTTGTAACAACACCATCGTGGCGGCGTTTGATAACATCTAGAGTCTGTGCAAAGCGTTTGTTGTAATCATTCAATTCCGGCGGCCATCCCATGCCGTCATCTACCATTGCATAGTATCTTCGACTAGAAGCTTTTTTACCATTTTCCATCAAGGCACCATCCGCAGGGTTCGGTGAGGACCTATATTGGCCTTTCTCTACACTGGGGTTGTCGGTTGCATGGCTCAAAATCCGTCCTTCTCGCCCATTGTTCCTTGTGGGTTTGAGAAGTCGCCGCCGCACATCTTCAGCCAAAGACGGCCGAGGTAACCGGATAATCTCCTGGACAGCAATTCAGCCTCTCGGACGGTCATTAAAAATTGGGGTGGGAATACTCACCTCAAATGATTGTGCATACCAATTTTGTACCCTCTTTATGGATGGCATCTCGTTCAGTCCGTCCGGCAAATGCTCAAGCTCTTGCACGCGATGAGCAAGGCGAATCGGCAATTCCTCGGATAAGAACTGTGATGCACGGAAAAGGGTCCCTGGCAGTGTATGAGCAAAATCGAACCGTTCGAGTGACAATGACCATGGCTTGGGTGCGAGGTCTGTCGCAGTATTGTCCATTGAAAAACCTACCTGCTGAGGGCCGTTCTCCAAACTGTACCATCTGGCGCAAGCTCACACCGGTAGCGGGGAAATTTGAATAGTGCTTGATAGTTTCCATCAAGGCCTCTGTACGTTTCCACGACATCTTGAATGGTAGGCAACTCCGTCCCGAGCACTGTCGTTGAGGTGCGCGTCGACACCGTTAAACGCTTGCAACGCTTTGACTCACTGGCTAAATTCGAAGGGTTCAATTGTTGAGATTACAACCAAAGGAGCGACTTTGAGGGGCCGTTGTCGGTCGAGCACAGAAGGCGGTTATGGATACTTGATTCGGACTTGGAGAATGGCGACAGTGTAGAAGAAAAGTAGGTGTCAAAGACAATGCGCCGAAAACTCTTCGAAAAAATGTAGGTAGGTAGATTGGACACACTCAAGCCACTGTGCTCTTGAACGGAAGAGCGATGCATGTGAGGACGAAGGGACTGATTGAATATTGACGAAGTACTCTATAGCTAAACTTACAACGTGCTGTACAATTGCAATTGTGAGTAACCGATAAGCTTCCAAGCGACCGACAAAGCGGAGCAAAAACCTTGGGGCCCCGCTAACCCGTCATCCCAGCCGAGGCGACTAATGTAGGTAGGTAGCGGGCATGTAACTCTCCCCTACTGGACCTGCTTGGCTCGAGGCTGCGCTGTACGACTTACGGTACTCTTTTCTCAGGGCCCTGCGGGGGGCGTCCCTGTCGGCAAATATATTCCCATGAGTATGAGACAATCCTTCTCGTAAAGAGCTACGTCTCCAAAATCGCCCACGGTCCTCGACCATTCTCGTCCTGAAGGGACTTCAACTACCGCGGGTATATGGTAACCCTCTCCCGCATTGTATCTTTCCGCACGGCGGAGCAATGCACCTAGTTAAAACAAAGCAGAGCAGGCGTAAATCCCCTGGCCCGCTGTTGCGAGACTTAGTCTTAACCATAATGACGCTTCTCTGGCTGGCTTGAATGCGCTCTTAAGCTTTTTTTGTAGTTCCTTAATGGCTCATCGGCTATGCTCTCCAACGAGAGATTTCAATCTAGGTCGATCGCCTTTAAATAGCATCGACGATCATCAACAGCTGCATATTATCCCTGAAACCTTTTTTTTACCCTTGCGAGTCAATTCTTGCTACTGTCATTTCAACGTGCCGCCATGGTGCCTGGGGATTTTACTCAACAACGAGTCCGCAATGCTGAAGCTGAGTGGGATCCCCTATTAAATAATCACCCCGCCAAAAAAAAGTCGGATGAGTTAAATAATTTAAATTTTTTATTTCGGTTCTATATCGGAAGAAGCAAATGGGTCTGGAGTGACTCCAAGCGTTGACTATGTAATAAGATGATAAAAAAAAAAAAAAACCACCCCCAGTTATGGCGACACAAATACCTTAAATAGCAGCAAGACTCTGCTCTTCAATGGCGCGAGCCACTGTGAGCAATATTGTGTTTCGCCAATGGATCGCTCTTAACATCGTGACTGTCAGCAGGCTTCTCGTCAAACTTGTACAATGGCTCAAGCACGGCGTCCTTATTAAAGAAAACGTAGCGCTTGAAGAAGTACGGCAGCGCTTTGGTGAGTTGGTGGTGGACGTGGGTGCGAGTGGGAACCGCAACTGTGGCTTCGTTAGTCCATGTCAATGAATTTTTGTTCTGTAAAACAAAAGTACTTACAGATATAATCAAGCTCCTCAAGGGTACGCTGTTTGGTCTCTGGGACAAACAAAAAAATCATACACAATGCGATGACGTTAAGCCCCGCATAGAAGCAGAAGGAGCCGGTAACGGTCAGCGCAGAAAGCATGGCTGGGAACGTAATAGACAGGACAGCCGCCCAGAAAAGGCAAGTTGCGACCGCCCAGGCCATCCCGACCTCACGATGTGAAAGAGGGAAGACTTCGGCAGAATAAGTAAAGGGCACAGGACCTTCTCCTGGGCTGTAAAATGCAGCGAAAACGAAGACAAACATAGCCACGAGACCTAGATGGGCTTTGCTGTCCGAAGGAATGAGATAGCAGAGCCCAGCAGCTAACAGTGTCCAGGCCATCTGAGGAAAGGTAAAAAGCAGCAATGCACGACGGCCAAATGTATCAATAGTCCAGATAGCCGGCCATGCGAAGACAAAATTGACCAGTCCAAAGCCCCAGGAAGCGAGTAGAGCCTGAATGTTGCTTGCGCCGGCCTTAACAAATACAGTAGACGAGTAGAAAGCTATAATATTAATTCCACACATTTGCTGGGCAATCATGACGGTGAACGAGGCAAGAGTAGCGCGGCGCACTCGAGGAATAGTAAAGAGCTCCACAAAGCGCTTCACATAATTCCCCTGGTGGATAACGTCTGCCTCGACCTGAAGTTGGGCGTGCACATAAAAGAGATCGCGAGCCGCTTGCAAACGCGTGTTGCGAAGGCGGCAGAGCGACTTAAAAGCTTTGGCATACTGGCCGTTCTTCATGTACCAGCGAGGCGACTCGGGGCAGAAGTAAACACCAAGCAGGAGCGGAACGGCGGGAATAAATGCAGATCCAAATTGCAGACGCCAGGCAATAGCTCCGGTGTGAACGACTGCAAGGTTTGCAGAAAAGCCCCTGTGGTGTATTAGTCGTGCATGAACGGACAAAAAAGATGACATTAAATTATCCTTACAAGAAAATACCAAAAGCAGTCCACATTTGCCAACTCATAACCAACCCACCGCGAATTGCGGCCGGGCAGTTTTCTGCAGCATAGATAGGGACGGTGGATGCCTTAGATCCCATTCCAATACCGAGAAGAAGACGAGTCACGAATAGCTGCGGCCAGGTTTGGGAGCACGCAGAACCAATAACCGAAAGGAAGCAGAACAGTGCGGAAAAAAATATTGTTCCTCGACGACCCAAGTAATGGTTGAGAGGGTCGGAAAGCCAGCAGCCGCTTTTTTTTTTGGGTCAGTTCTGAGCAGCAGCCGAGATGATGGAGCTTCTGTACTTACAGGAACGAGGATGCAATGTAGGGACCAGCGTTTATCACTCCAACAAGCCATTGGTTTCGAATAGCATTCGGGTTGTTGACGCAGGCTATACCGTCTGTTCCGGTGCCAGGCATGCATGCCGAATCAGGGATCCCAAATGCTACTGGAAAGGAGAGATTCGCACCATTAGAACCTGTTTGATCCCAACCCTGGACGGCGGCACCGATTGAACAGAGAATAACAGTAAAATACAGTGACCATGGCTGGCGCCATCGATGTAGCACCTCATTACGAAGGGCTTCTCGCTCTTCCTCTTCAAGCTCCTCAACGGACTCAAAGCCAGCTGGGTGCTGGGCAACCAGTGCTCCCCGGCGAAGGAGATCTTTGATATCAGTCAGATTCTCCTTTTCGGCAAACTCGTCGACTTGGGCGAGAAGGGTTTCGCGCGAGAGACCGGTAAGAGGATTTTCGATTCTTTGCACAGAGCATCAGCATAATGAAAACCTATATGGCACTAAACGAGCAAATACCTCGCTGTTAGATTTTTGTTAAGATCAACGTGCTTGTGCTGTTGTTCGAGCTCTATGTGCTCAATTTCATTGACACCCAGCTTCTCCTGAGCCTCCATCTTGCCCTTTTCAGATGAATCTGACCTAGGGCACGGAGTTGGACACGAGTGGAATGCGTCTCAATGACAAAAACACGGAAAAATTTGTGAGCTGAAGACAGGGAGCAAGGAGATATTTCGGCAACGATATAGACAAACGTTTGGAAGAAGGGGGAGTATAGGTAGCTCTTATAGAGAACATGCAAAACCTCACTTTACTCAAATGTTCAAATACGACACCCTGGGACATCCTAGGACTCACGCGGAATGTGCGGGGTTCCCCAGGTTCCACCACGAATAGTCTGATAGTACAAGGCTCAATCTCTGGGCCCACATTACTTGGAAGGGAGAGGTTTCATGGCTAGCATTATACCGACCAAAAAAAGGTGAATCTTCCTTCAACACGAGAAATCCAGGTTTATCCATGTCTGCGCTGGACATCTATCGGTAGGATCTTGTAATGATACGCCGACCTATGGATGTTTTGGTGCTTTGTGGCTTTTCCTATGAACGAAGCGGGAACGCCATCCACTGCGGTTGAGCGGCGCCTCGAACACGTCCGGGCAAGCGGATCAACTTTTTTGAGCACCGATGGTCTCCAGGGATCCCGTTCCCTGCTAGAAGCTAATTCAGCCAAGCAGACATGTGACGGGGCCTGGCCAGGGATTGATCAGGTTGCGGGGAGGGAGGGTGGAGGCAACGGTCTGGCGCCTTCTGGTGGAAGCCTCATTCGAGTGAGACCTGTTGTGTCGACAGTCTCGAACAAGGCGTCCCATTTGGATATGCAACACTCCAAGTGGCCGCGCAACCGACAACCTCGAAAACCTGCCCCCCCTGTGCAGCGTGGGGTAGTCCGAGAGGGCTCGAACACATTGTATATTGTATTCGCAACTGCGCCGCATATTATGCTGCAATATACTAACTAACTATACAACTTGAGGTAAGCACCTGATTGATCTTTGCAACGATGTGCCTTGGCTATCCGTTTTTCGTTCAGCGAACCCAGTCAATCCATCCCACAAACTTCTGTCATTTCGTTCGGACTGGGTCCGTCCTAGGTGCCTTACTTACCCAAAACGGTTCGCGTCCAGCCCTCCTGTAAGTTAACTGATTCTCTTGGCTGATTGAGAAGGCTGGTCTGCCAGGGATTCCCCTTGGGTTAGGGGGGGAAATGGTTGGCGGCCGCGGAATGAATGACGGGCTTTTTGATTGATCCAAGCCTAGTCGCCAGCAGAAGAAGATTTCCTCCGCAAAACTCAATTTTTTCTACCGCAGCCGCTGTTCAGGATCCCATTCCCTCAGTGTGGTAATTCGGTCCTGCACAGTCAAACCCCTCGCAGAGAACACGGGGATCGCAAGTCCAGTTTGGAGCACCTTCCTTTTTGGGGTGTCATCTCGCTCCCCACTCCACAAAGACCCACTTTGGGCAGTGGGGCTCGTTCTTATCCCCAGTTTCACCAAGAATTAGTTAATCCAGTCAATCTAAGTTAGTTATGGGGTAGGACCTTATTCATAATCTTGTATGGTACAGTCGGAGCTGCTTGTCCTTTCGCAAATTGTCATCCATTTGGTGGGGTAGAAGCGTCATCCCTCGTGGCAAGTGCAATCGGCCAGTCCGGTCGCAAGAGAGCGTAGGAATAACCCGACCCCAACGGGCTCTATATGCCTATTACCTCTCCATCATTCCCTCTGATATGTTTTGCCACTATTCACGCTCTTGCCATCATTGCTACGAGTACGACAACATTTGCTTAACCTGACTTGGCTCGACCAGGATCAGACTGAGATTTGTGGGAAAATCCTAAGAATATCCTTGCCTGTGCTATTTCAAATTGTTTCATAACTAATTTGCCAAGTGATAGCAAGCAGCATCGGAACAGGAATGATTGTGCCCTTAGCCTATGTTTCCGGACCCTCCCCCCCCAACACCCCCGGTCTCTACATGGAGGATTGAGTAAGAGCATAACTGATAAACTCTTCATCACGCCACCAGCTGCACCTGCCAGGAAATTTCAAAATCCAGTTGAGGCCAATCTAATTCGAGACTTTGGCTCAAAATTGACTTTTCGAAAATCTATTTTTTGTGTTCATCGAGATGTGGTGGTGTAGTCATCCCAACGAATATATACTCCCGACCTGTAGAGACGGAATCCGTGATAACCAAACTCAAAAAAAGAAAGGAAAAAAAAAAAAAAACGCCAAACCCGAATGCACTCACTCAGCGCCATCCCATCGCGCCAAGAATACCGGGATCCAGCTAAAAATGTTTCCTTTCACCTGCCTTAACCACCAAATATTTCCCAAATTTGAATACTAATACAATCAGACGAGAGAAGTTACAGGCAAAAACAAAATAAAAAGGTCGGAGTGGTTATACCGATGTGATTTCATTTGCGAAAATTGATAATAGCAACCTTTAAGTTGAGCCGTTAGCAGCAGTCCAGCTCATGCATGGCTTTTGAAAGACATGAAATCAAACGGGAGAGTACGAACCTGATGTCCGAGACCATATGCCAGTCTCCCTCCATTGGCATCCCAGGATAGACTATGATCTAGAGAGGATTGACCGTCTCCTTCGTCATTGGCACCATTTGTCCATCCAACGCAGGATCCGCTCCAATTGGCTTTGGGAACCCCCCCGTCTTCGGCATGCCAAATAAGTACGCGGCTATACCCGGCTGCCGCAAGAAGGAAACCATCCGGCGAGAAACTCAGTGTCATAGCGGGAAGATCATGACCAAGAGTCAAAAGGTGGACAATTTGGAACGGTCTCCGAGCATCCCAGAGGCGTATTGACCCGTCAACTGACGACGTGGCTAACAAACGGGGCGAACCTGCGGGATAGGCACTTGGATTGGTGAGTGGTTGAAACTCCAGAGCCGTTATGGTCTCATCATGAGCAAGATGTGTCTGCAGTGTATCTTTCTCAGCTGCGATGAGCTAGGTTCAGTAAGTTAGCATGTGAAATGACATTTGCCACGGCATCACAATAATCACTCACCGCAAGCCAAGGTTCCGATTCTGCAGATGCAGCAATGGTACTGCAGTGTGGATCATATCGAACCTTTTCCCATCTTTGACGAGTCTCATATGCGCGAAGCAGAATGATGTTCCCCGCAACGCGATATATTTGAAGCGTCTCATGACCGCAGACTACGAAATCCGTACTGTTGATCCAAGAGGCATCCAGTACAGGCTGGGCCATTTCAAGCATCTCAATAGTTGCGCCAGTTGAAGGATCCCAAACCATGATATGACTCGTTGACTCGTTACTCGAAATGCCGAGGAGAAGGGATGCGCCAGAATTCCATCTAAGGGCGAAAAGAGGATCTCTTGCTGCGGGCAATATATGTAATAGTGCGCCATCGCTGCTCCAGATCAAGATCTGACTATGCCATGGACGGGAAAAGTCCCGAATCCCAATAGCTAGAGAGGCCCCTGTGGGATGCCAGGCTATGGCCGTGACCAAACTCGTTGTGCCTTGGTCGCCGAGATCTATTCGTTTCGGAGCAGCTCCAACGGCCGTAGGCGCATTCCAGAGACTACAAATCCCTTCCCCCGCCGTGATCAATGCAGTCGGATCAGTAGGATTCCATGCTGAATACAAGACCATATTATTTGATCCAAATGCGAGTAAGCTTGTCCCGGGACCAAGCTCAGTGACTTTATAGCTTTGCATACCAACGCTGTTCCCCTTTGTGATGATAGGCACAGGGGTCGGCGGAGGAATCTGGCCTAAATCTTCGGCCTGAGATACTGAAGATGGAGCAGGAACAGGCGAATCTGTCACCGAAGGGTCTCTTTTCGGTGGCATACTTGGCTGCTCAATTTCAATATTCCACGATCCATCGCGGTCTATTTCCATAGCGTCGCCATTACCAGGAATTCCGTTGGTCTTTCGGTTCCTCTTGGCACTGGTCTGAGTAGAATTACTTGGAATGACTCTCGTGGAGGTAATATCTCGACTGGGTTTGCGCTGAGTGGGTGAGGTGGAGCTGAGCTCGGTTTCTTCGTTAACATCGCCGTTCGGTTCATTGAAGGTGGTTTCACGCTCGGGGCCAAAAAAAAGAGTGGCTTGCGAAGGTGAAACACTCTTGCCATACTACTTCTAGTTTTAGAGCTCAGTTGGGTTGAAGCTTTCCGGTGCGTACGGACCTGATCAATAGATTGTTCGATATCGTGATATTGAAGGCCTTTCTGGACCAGGGACACCAGTGCATGGGTTTTGATATATGGAGCAAACGATAGTGATTGAGGGTCCAAGTTCCAATCTCGTTGCAACTTCACGGCGGCCTCTCCATGACCTAGATCGTCATATAGTTAGATTTGGATCAGTTTGCCAAGCGGTCGCGCTGTGAGTTCGAGGGATCCCACCAGATTCTTGCAGATATCTATAAAGAGAAAACCAATATATTAGCATTGATCATATGCCGATGCGACGGCGCTAAGGAAAATGGGAGCCGCAGGTGGATGCGCATAATGCATACCTCCAGACAAGGTAATTGACATGATTCGAAGTCAACGATCCGGCGGCCATGTCGCCAGTACTCAGCAGGTCGTCGCACAAGACATGCACTTTAGGTGTAAGTTTTTGGAACCTGATAGATAGTAATCGCAATATCTTTCGAAGGAGGGGCAACCACGCCAAACCTCCGGAAATAACAGTCGCACTGTCTATGGGAGGGAGTTAAATTGGAAAGAGGCATCAAGATTCGCCTGGGGTCTTTGACATGGCGTCCGCGGCTAGTTAGCGTCTGGCTCACCCTGCAGTGGCACGGAAGCGAACCGAACGCTCCAACGCTCCCACACGAGTGGGATCACTGCTGTGTCATACTCCCCTCGTTTGGTTGGTCAAACGCGCAAGTTGGCCTTCTCCGTACAGCTTATATCGACTTGTTGAGGGTGGATAACTCTGATGAAAGCTTAAATGTGTATACAGAAATGAAAGACTTATAACGCAAGTGACGTTAAACAGAGATTTCCGGTTATTCATCAAGTCCCCATCAGCCCTGAATTGCATAACAATTGCCATCTAAAACTGAGCCTTCAAGCTGCATATCACCTCTCAATGCCATAAATACGCGTGGAGGGTGACTCCCGTAAGGTGATCAAATACATGCATTTCAATGAGACATTGAGTCTCAAAGCTGCTGGGTTGGCTTGTGAAGCTCCCAGATCTTATTAAGATCGAGCGGCTTACTAGGCGGAACTCCGGCGGCTTGATGGTTCCGCTCTAGTAGGATTTCGTCCTGGGCAAGTGCCGAGTTACTCTGTTATTGTACCACATAGTTATGGCCACGCACAGCAAAGACAGCTTGACAATATTACACCTCGGCGTTGCTGAGGATAATGGAGGCTCATTTCATCGTTTCAAGAGTCGTCGGCGCTGATTATCCGCTCAATCTCTTTTCCCACCGCTTCCTCGAAAGACAGGAGCGGTTTGCTTCGGCCGTGCTTCTCCATTGTTGAGTTCATGTCATAAGTCCTCGGTTGTTGCCCTTCCCTTGCATTCACATCTCCATTGACGACGGTCGAAACTCGCAAGTTGCGATTTCATCCTACTCGCCAGCAAAGCCTTACTGCTTTACGCTTGAGAGCCATTCATCGACAAGATGCCGACACGCATCAATATTCCCCCATTAACGCGAGGCTTACTGCTTCTCCTCATTTGCCTGTCCCTCCTGTCTGCCGCATTACGATATCGTGAGTCCGCTTCGCGATCCGATGGAAGCCCCCCTTCTTCCATACTCGTCCCATACCTCACGGTGGTGCCGCAATTATCCTGGTTCTATCCATGGGTTTTCCTTATTGCGACATTAGTCGAGGAGAACATTTTCACTCTGCTTGTGACTGGGACAACATTGCTATATGGTGGCAAGTATTTGGAACGTGCCTGGGGTTCTCGCGAGTTTGCGAAATTTCTCCTTGTAATATCATTGGCGCCCAATCTCTGTGCATGCGCAATATATATTATCTGGTTTGCAATTACTGGAAACATCAACCGATCGTGAGTGAAATGTCCAAATTTTAGGCAAGCTCAAGAAACCCTAACGTCTACTTTCAATCAGTCTCACAACAATATGTGGGGGTGTCAGCCTTCAAGCCGCGTTTCTTGTGGCCTTCAAGCAGCTGGTCCCTGAGCATACGGTCACTATTGCGAAAGGTCTCATTAAGATCAGGGTCAAACACTTTCCGGCATTATTTGTTCTCCTTAATACTCTGAGCGGAATTATTTTAGGCACTGATTCGGCTCTAATACTGGCATGGTCGGGATTCCTGGCGTCATGGACATATCTTCGCTTCTATCGTTTGAGCCCTTCCCTCTCCTCCACCTCCACGGGCGAGGGTTTATACCTTAGAGGGGATGCTTCAGAGACGTTTGCGTTTGCTCGTTTTTTTCCCGACGCAATTCAGGGCCCCATTGCTACATTTTCAGAGGCGGTCTTTCAGGCCCTTGTTGCTTTGCGAATATGCACACCTTTTTCTGCAGAACATATCGACGCCGGCAACGAGCAAGCTTTAGCACGCTCCGAAGGAGGACTTCCCAGCCTCCTAGGAAATAGCAGAACGGCAACAAGAGCAGGCGGTAAGAGGGAAGAAGCTGAGAGGAGACGAGCGCTGGCTTTAAGAGCACTCGATCAAAGACTTCATGCGGCTGCAGCTGCCCGGGAACAACAAGCAAACGCCACTCCAACAGCAGCGCTGCCAGATCAAAGCCCAGTCATGGAACCCAGAGAAGACAGGAACAAAGGTGTTGAACAAGAAGCGTGATGATGCGATTGATATTACATTTCGCCGGCTTTCCTTTTGATCTCTTCTAAATCTAAAAAACGATTGCAAAGCGTCAAAGTGACCGATTCCCTAGGATCATATTCGCCATAAAATTCAGAATAGAGTTCCTTGTGTGAAATCCGAATTTCTATCATTGTTGCATAAGAGCGACGCATTTCCTCGAATTTACGCCTTCCAATGCTTTTTGGACGGAATTGAGACGTACATTGTGTGGAGTAACTCTAGTTTGGAAAAAGACAAAGACTGAAGGACGTCTATCCATTCCCGTTTGTGGAATGACATCCACGAAGATAGTCAGCCGGCAAATCTCTGGTGCCTTCCCTGATTGTTTGGCTATTAAGTTATACTACGTTGATTTCTCGCTACAGTCCCTTCTGTGATATAGTGGAACAAGACCCTTCAAGGTGAGGTGACTTGACTGACACCCCACTACTGTACCGCAAAGGGAATAATGTAGTCGATGGCTAGTGCACGCCTATCAAAAGTTTATCCATGATTACATAAGCAAATACTAGATCTCAGTTGTAAAATCTCGAGAAATATTATTAACGGCTGCGGACAAACTTCAAGCCGCAGACCCTCACTGTTTGCTGCAGCCATGTCGTTGCAGGAGAAGCTCGACAAGATTCGGTCGCCGAAGCTGCAAAATCAACAGCAGGTACAATTTCTTGACTGTCGTCTGACTTGCTATTGTTGCTAACGATTTTTAGACTGCGCGCGTACTTTCGGCCGTGGAAGATACCTTACGAGACCAAAAGACAGAATTTACCCCTACAGCGTATTTCGCAGCCATTCTCGCTCTCCTAAGTCAATCGATATCATCCGAAACTGGAATCGTCAACAAAGAACTCGCGACTTCAGTTGTATACCTCCTGGACCTGGTAACACCTCATGTTTCCCAGCCGTTGCTACGGTCCAAGTTTTTTCAAATTTTGACACACCTTGCTCCCGCTCTCACCAATGCTGAAGCCGAAGCGCCGCTTCTACGACCGTCTATCGGCTGCCTTGAATCCCTTTTGATTGCACAAGATGCGGCAGCCTGGGCGCTTCCACAGACTCAGGTCGGCCCAAGACGAGCCATTGCGGGTCTACTGCATTTTGCTGTAGACCACCGTCCGAAGGTTCGAAAGCGGGCTCAGGATGCGCTGGTCAAGATTCTCAAGAGTCCACCTCCGAGTCCATCGCTTGATCATCCTGCGGCTGATATGTGTGCGGAAACCGCTTTGAAGAGTTTGAGTGATCTCGCCAGCGCGACCGGCAAAAGCAAGAAGCACCGGGAAAACAGCCAAGGGCGTCCCCATGAATCATCCTTAATTCATGCCCTGCAACTGGTCAAGACAATTGCAGACGCTTCTGGCGGTTGGCCTTCGCGAAAGATGGAGTCTCTGTGTGACTTACTGTTGAGCATCTCCAAGTCAAGCAATGAATATCTCACCATGGCAGCATTCGATGTCTTTGAAGCCATATTCGAAGGAATGGCTGATGGCTTCTCTGCCACGAAGCTTCCACACCTCTTGGAAGTCATTTCTGAGTTGCGGCCATCCCAGAATGATTCACAGCTTCTTCCCCCCTGGATTGCGATCCTCTCTAGGGGCTATGATGTTTCTGCTCAGATCGATCCTGAAAGTACATTTGCCAAATTGCCGGACCTCTTTACATTGGTTTCTGGCTTTCTGGCTTCCTCTTCTCACAATATTCGGGTGTCCGCCGCGGAGTGTCTCATTTCCTTCCTAGCCAATTGCGTCCCAGATTCAGCAATCATCGAGCCTTCGATATTTGATGAAAAGATTCTTGAGAAAATTGCTAAGTCCGGGGTCGACCTGCTCAGCGTTAAATACCAACAAGCTTGGATGGAGGTCTTTACTGTACTGGGTGCCATGTTTGACGCCTTGCGATGGAGAAGTTCGCCACTCCTCTTGGATGTCGTGAAGATCTTGGGCGATCTCCGCGACAACAGTTCTTTCACCAGTAAGAAAGAGGTCGACGAAATACTAGGCAAAGCAATAGGTGCAATGGGCCCTGAGGCAGTTTTGAACCTGATCCCGCTCAACTTGACCAAGCCGAAAACCGGACAGCCAGGAAGAGCCTGGCTACTACCTGTCCTTCGTGACAGCATCAACAATGCCCATTTAGCGCATTTCCGATCCGAGTTCGTCCCACTGAGTGAGGCCATGTTTCAAAGGGTGATCAACCATGGTGGCGCCGAAAAAACTATGGAAATCAAGATCTTTGAAACGCTAGTCCAGCAGATATGGGCACTCCTACCAGGATACTGCGACTTGCCGTTGGACATAATTGAGGTTTGTACAATCCAACTGAAAGGGAAAGTTAAAACTTACTCACTCTTCCTCAGGCCTTTGACCAGAGCTTTGCTGAGCTCATCGCCAATTTGCTTTACAAGCAGACCGAGTTGCGAGTGGATGTGTGCAAATCTCTTCAGCTCTTAGTTGACTCGAACAAGGCGGTGCTGGCCATTGGTACAGAACCCGAGAACCTTCTCGAACAGCGGAGGATTTCGATTGCCCAGGCGAAAAAGAATCTAGATCATCTAGCCACATTTTCCGGAAATATGCTCGCTGTGCTCTTTAATGTCTATAGCCAGACTCTTCCGCAGTATAGGGGCTTCATTTTGAACTGCATCAGTACTTTCCTCAGTATTACCTCAGAAAAGGTCAGTAAGCTAAAGCAGCCATATCATAGATCGGAATGTGCTGACAGGCAGGCAGGAACTCATCGAGACGTTCGCGCGAGTTACGGGCATGCTTGAATCTTCTCTCGGAGAAGGCGGAGCCCAGACTCAAGCGGATAAACAAAGACAAAAGGAGAAAAACGCTGGCGATAAGATGCCACCCATGAGTCACACGCTCATGGATTTAGTTATCACCATTTCCATTTACCTGCCGCGAGAGAGCTTTGCCACGCTATTCAATATCTCGGCGTTGATTGTCGCCAAAGACGATGACCCCCAGCTCCAGAAAAAGGCATATAAACTTATCCCGCGCCTTGCAGACTCCGATTTGGGCAAAGCTGCATTAGTCGAGCGCAATGTTGAGCTGCAACAGCTGCTTCTTCAAAGCGCCTCGAAAGCTTCCGCGCCTGCTCGAAGAGTACGTGTTATTGTTACCATACGTAAAACTCCGCTAATAAATACTTAGGATCGTCTGGATGCCCTTGCTAAGATTGTCACGTTTCTTCCTCAATCTGATCTCCATTTCATCCCTTCCATCCTTTCTGAAGTTGTTATTTCCTGCAAGGAGGTCAATGAAAAAGCGAGAGCTGCAGCCTTTGATTTACTTGTATTAATGGGAGAGAAGATGGCAGAAGGCGGCACAGTTGTTAATTCCAAGGTAGAGCATATGCCTGACGATGCACCGGATGTGCCAGCCACGATCGAGGAGTATTTCACCATGGTCTCTGCGGGGCTTGCTGGATCAACGCCACACATGATCAGTGCTTCGATTACTGCATTGACAAGGATACTCTACCATTTCCGCGAATCATTATCGGAAGCTGTTGTGACGGACTTGGTCCAGACCATGGATCTTTTTCTGACATCAAACAACCGAGAGATTGTCCGTTCTGTCCTCGGATTTGTCAAGGTCTCAGTCATTGCTCTGCCGGTTTCTCTCATGCTGCCGCGACTTGAGACCCTACTTCCAAACCTCATGGTCTGGAGCCACGAACATAAGGCTCACTTCAAGGCAAAGGTTAAGCATATTATCGAAAGAATGATTCGTCGATTTGGTCTCTCTGTCGTCGAAAAGTGCACGCCTGAAGATGACAAGAAGCTAATCACCAACATTCGCAAGACAAGAGATCGTCGCAAGAGGAGAAAAGATGAGGGCAAAGATCATGAAGGCACTGGAAAAGAGACAAACCGTAAAGGCCGATTTGAGAGCGAATATGATGAGGCCGTATATGGTAGCGATGAGAGCTCCGACGGCTCTGATGTTAGTGATGACGAAGTTCTTGGCAAGCATGGCAGAAAGCCCAAGACTGGGCAGGCGTACATTGTCGAAGATGAAGACGAGCCTCTGGATCTTCTGGACCGGCGAGCTTTGGCAAACATCTCGTCCACGAAACCCCTCAAGTCCCGACAGCCGCCTGCATCAAAGACTAAAGCAAAGGTTGACCTGGATGGCAAACTTCTGCTTGACGATGATTCCGATGATGAGATGATGGACTTTGGTGAGGACGGCAATGTCGGTGCTGGCGACGGTTCAATGGAAGGAGGTATCAACGCCTATGTGCAGGCGCTGAAGGGCAAAGACGCGCCCAAGCGCGGCCAGCGCGGAAAGCTCAAGTTCAGTAACAAGAGAGGCACAGACGATGATGACGAAGAGATGGAAATAGATGAGGAGGAGGTAGCACAGAAAATGAAAGCGAAGCAGCGCGGGAGCGGAGGACCAAAAAGGAAGGATCAAAGGAAAGGTTTGGGGGCACAAAAAACAAAAAGCGGACGGATACAAAAAGGTGGTTCTGGAGGCAAGCACGGACGGCGTTAAATTTTTGCATACATTCTAGCTTCGCAGGGTCTGCTTTTACGGAAAAAAGTTTTGCAAGATACTATAGTGAATTCTGGATTATATAGACGACATACTCCACTTCTCCTGACGCCTCGCTCTGGTGATTATGATGCAAATCTTCAATGAGAAATAGAGCAGACAAGCTCGATGTGCATGCAGGATTTATCATCTCACTTTGCTCATGATAGTTTCTGGTCCCCTCTCTACGTGCATTTCAGCTGCCTTTGTCTTGACGCTGTTCATCATGCCTCGGTCAAAGTCGTCCCTGGACCTCAAGACGGCCTCAACCCAGCTCAGCTGGACATCCCAGTACTCCTGCTTGAAGCTTTCGTAGACGCTAGCAACGGCATGTTTTTCCGCCTCTAATAGGCGCACCAAACCATCCACAACCCGCCACTTCTGTTTGATGTTTGCAAAATCCGGGAACCTCTCAAAGAATTGGAAAGCGGTGATAACGTCGTCTTTGAATTTGTCGTTGAATGCATCAACGCGTCGGAACTTAGCTCCCTTATTTCGAACGCCTGACAAGTATCTGATCAACAATTCTTCAGAGAGCTCTTCCACAAAGATATCCACCATGCTATGATGCAGCACCTCCGAGTAGTCTGAGATGTAGTCATCGAAAGTGGAAGTAATTCGCTTCATGCCATATTCGGAATACCACTTTGGCGTGAAGAAGTCCGAAATGGTTGAACGAAGATCTACAGCAAAGACGATGGAGACAAAGATTGTAACGCAATGTGTGGCGAGGTCGACGTAACCATCTCGAAGGCCTTCAATCTGGCTGCTGGCATGGAGCATGTATTTGGGCGTGACAAGAGGCTCAAAGTCGCGCTTGAAGCGTGAAAGATATCCCAGCTGCCCAGTTTCCTCATTATCGTCGATGCAAGCAATTTGGTCATTAGAAATGGCCACGAGCCAGTCCTGCAAAATCTGTAGGCCTTCCTGCTCGCCTTGTCCGCCGGTGTACTTTGAGGCTTCCTCGTCCATGACCTTTTGCCACATGGTCTGACGATGCTTGAGAGTCAGGAACATTGCATCGATCACACCCTCAGTGACATCAGCGCGCTCCGAGTTCCCAGCCGCGGTGACCTGCTCTCTCAGCATGCGCCACATATCACCCAGTGTCTTGGTTCGGAAATAGCCATTTTCATCGGTGTCCAGACAGTCGGGTTTGCGTTCAAGGAACACTTTTCTGTCGCCGGCAAACATGCGATCAATCCACTCATCAAGATACTTGATGATGAGTTGACGCCACTCACGCACAAGCTCCCCCTCGCGGTTGTCAATTAGCTGAGGTTGCACATCGCTTTCTTGGAAACCAAGTCTTTCAAGCTTGGCGTAGTATTTCTCCCCCCAATGTATGATCGCAAGCATGTTTGCTGGCTTCAGATTTGGATCATCGATTAGCTTGACAAGCCAGTCATGCATGAGATGGTGATAAATGTCAACGTATGTCTTCATGATATTCCATCTTTTTGGCATCAACCCCACCATGCCTATCTTGACCACATAAAGATCGTTAAAAAACCATCTCGTACACTTGTCCAGTTTGCTTGAATCTTCCAAAAAGGTTGCCTCGGTTTCTTCAAATTGGGATTGTGCGTGTAACTCGATGCTTTGAAGGAACTTTTCCTTGTATCCTCGAAGCTCCTTTGGTCCGGTGGCCATGGATTTGAAACGCGAAGCAAGCTCCTTATGATCTCTCTGAGCATCTTGGAGCGCCGCTACCTTTTTATCGCTTCTTTCCTCCTCTTCGATCACAAGAGCAAGTCGCACCACCATACCCTTATTGTCGGCCTGGACCAAGGGAATGAGGTTCATGCATGCAGTACCGACATGGTCGTCAAACCACTCAATTACGTCATCAAGACGGCTGAAATATTCCTGGAGTGTAGCCTCCAAAGATTTGTCAGAGGCTCTCTTGATCTGATTCATGGCATCGTCCCGGATATCTCTGAGTTTTGTCAGCCCGTAATGGATCGCAAGCAGATTGGGCTGGTTTTCGATGTCTTCGTCGTCATCTTTCAACAAATCTTTGAGATTCTGGAGCTTGTCATTGAACGTATCCAGATTCTCCTTCATTGCCTCAACCTGGGTGAAGTTACGATGCGTTTGTGACACAAGATTGATATTAGGGAAATCTCGGATCATATTCTGAGATTCGGCGCACAGCTTATCGATCTTCATCATCTCTTCTTTTATCGAATTGACTGTCCGTTTTCCATCATTAATCGAGTCTATTCCCATCTGCGTCGTGTCCAATTGCTCCTTCAATCCTAATTTGAGCTGTGTATCGACGGCCGCCTTCTTGCGCATGAAGTCAGCCCTGAGGGCTGAGAGCTTGTCCAGATCCTCGGGATGCCGCAACAGCTCATCGAGCTTGAAGATAACCCCATCCTCATCGATCATGGTGATAGATGACTGTTTCATGCCATGCTCTAAACAAGGCTCCCCTTTAGTGTGTTGTCAAATGCAATAGCTATTCGAGCAGCCTAAAAGCTTCGTTTAAGTTGCTCATCTGGAAACCTCTGAATACTGCTACGTACTTCCGGTAAAGTGAGCGACAACGCGAGGAAGAGAAGCCTCGGGTAGGGACAGGGGAGCTCCAAGAGACTAGCGTAGTACTGTCCTGCTGTAGTTCTTGGTACGTACCCGGTACTTGCAACGCTCAGCATTTGCTTGGCTCCGATTGGACCTCCCTCGCTCGCGGCGTTTCCGGCAGGCATCAGCGGAAACTTCCGCAGGATTTGGTCAAACGTCTTCCGTTTCACCGGAGTCTTCGAGATTTACATGGTCATTTGCAAGACAACGTCGCGACACCGTCGATCTTACGGGAGGTTTTCTCGAACATAGAAATCGCGAAGGTAAGTTTGGTTTAAATTCAACAAAACTTCCTCAACTGCGCAACTGACACCAACAAAGATCACCGTCCCGAACACGAATCAAGATGGCTTTCTTCAAGATAACGCTCCTTCGCTCAGCCATTGGACTGCCTCGGAAAAGCTCTGGCGTTCTTCAGGCCCTTGGCTTAAGGAAACGGATGCGAACAGTCTATCATCCCGTCAGCCCACAGGTCGCGGGCCAAATCATGAGAGTGAAGGAATTGGTCGATGTGTCCGAAGTCGAAGAGCCGCTTTCCAAACCAGAAATGCGGCAATTGAGGAAACCTGATCCTGGCTTTTACATCGAGTCTGCAATCTCGCGATAATTCGTGGCTCCTCTCAATTCACAAATCGCATTTGGGGGGTTTTTACTATTGTTAGGGGTACTTTCTGGGAGAGGACAAAACGTCAATACGCCTTCTTCCCGAATATATTTCAGGCCAATATTTGGCATAGTATGGCGTCAAGGCGTTTTTAAAAGTTTTCCTGGGCACATGACCTTTCGTGTCTTTTGATCTGATCAGCTGCGCTTCAATCAACAAGAGTGGTGGATCGTCATGGAGATCTTAGGAATCAAATAGCTCATTTCAAGCATATTCAAGTATCTTTTCGAAGCTTAAGAATACCTTCGCACCTGTATTTATTGGCTTGATATTGAAACCATGTTAAAAGCGAGATAGGCCTTATTCCGAAGGAGTTTGGCTTGGAGTATTTAGATAAATGGACGAGATGTCATCACAAGCCAGAAAGAGAGAAAAAAAAAGGATAATAATAAGATCATAGTACAAATGTCTCCTATTGTAGGATCTATAAGTTAATCTGAGCTCTGGTATATCATGTCGAACGGGCTCGGGAAGGAATAATATCAGCGTGTACGGAGCCGGTAAAAGCCGCATCCAACCAGCCAGCAGGCCAGCCGCTTCGGGTACCAGCCGTATCGAATGTGATAATAGGTGGAAAGTGACATCGTATGCTCCCCAACATTGCGGAGTACATCTGGAGAGCGATAATTACCGAACTCCGCATCTATGAGATCAATTCATTTGGGCCGCATTGATCTTTCTAAAGCACTGAGCGCTGCCTCTTTGCGCAAAATGGGCTCCTCAAGGCTACCAGTTAGCCTGCGCTCTAGCTTCAATGTACAAAGGGCGAGTTCAAAGGGTCAATTGCTCGCCTTGAATATTGACTTGTGCGTTTGATCCGCAATATTTATCTTCCGAGGTTCTATGCTGATATCTGTGCTTAGGCTTCGCAATGTCATATTCATTCTCTTCCTATTGCGCTGGATGAAAAAAGCCTTCCTTCAACTTAAAGGGCGCGGTATTATTGGCTCTACGTTTGACATTTATACAGCGATTCGACGCGTGCTCTACGGTATTTTGCTACGTACTCCCGGCGTCAAACAGCAAGTGCAGAAACAAATTGTCGAGGCCATTACCAAGATAGAAGGAAAGCTTGTTCCAAGCGGCCCTGGAGTAAATCGTTACTTGACATTGCCAAAAGAAGGGTGGACTCAGGAGCAGGTAAAAGAAGAGCTGGAAAGGTTGAGCCAGATGGATCACACGAAGTGGGAGGACGGCTATGTCAGTGGTGCTGTCTACCACGGTGGAGATGAGATGGCGAAGCTTCAAATGGAGGCTTTTGGGAAATTTACTGTGGCCAATCCCATTCATCCAGACGTTTTCCCGGGTGTCCGTAAAATGGAAGCAGAAGTGGTTGCGATGGCAAGTTTATTCGACGTTCGAACCTGTTCTGTCATTCTCATAGGGCTAATCGGCATTAGGTCCTTTCGATGTTTAATGCTCCGCCAGGCGCAGCAGGTGTTACAACCAGCGGAGGCACTGAATCTATCTTAATGGCATGTCTCAGTGCTCGTCAGAAAGCGCACGCCGAGCGCGGTGTCATCGAGCCTGAAATGTTAGGAATCCACCCCATGTATCTGGACGAGTCAAAGAAAAGCTTACGAGAAATCGCCTCAACAGGATCCTTCCCGCCACAGCACACACTGCATTTCGGAAGGCCGGAGAATACTTCAATATTCGAACTCATCTAGTCGACTGTCCGGCGCCCGACTACAAGGTACACATCCCATCAGTATCACGGTTGATCAACTCCAATACTGTTCTGCTCGTCGGGTCTGCGCCGAACTTTCCTCATGGTATTATTGATGATATTCCTGCCCTCTCACGCCTGGCCACCCGCAGGAAGATCCCGCTTCATGTTGATGCCTGCCTTGGGTCTTTCTTGGTGCCATTCCTCGAAAAGTCTGGATTTGAGACGGAATTATTCGACTTCCGACTCAAGGGAGTTACAAGTATTAGCTGCGATACCCATAAATATGGTTTTGCTCCCAAAGGGAATTCAACAGTTCTGTATAGAAGCCAGGAACTCCGCAGATACCAATATTATATCTCGACAGACTGGTCAGGCGGTGTTTATGCTTCGCCTAGCATTGCTGGATCACGCCCCGGTGCGTTGATTGCCGGCTGTTGGGCAAGCTTGATGTCTCAAGGAGAAGCGGGCTATGTAAAGGCATGCCATCAAATAGTTGGCTCTGCTAAGAGGTTCGAGATGGAAATTCGTGAAAATCCCGCTCTCAGCAATGATCTCGTGGTTATTGGTCGCCCGCTGGTCAGCGTAGTAGCATTTACATCGACATCTCTAAACATTTACGATATTGCTGATGCGATGTCCTCGAAGGGCTGGCATCTGAACGCATTACAAAGCCCTGCGGCCATCCATGTCGCATTTACGATGCCAATGGTAGGTGCTATCGATAAACTCATCGAAGATCTAGTCGCCACAGTGGAGGAGGAAAGGGAAAAAGAAAGGGTGCGTATGGCTGAAGGGAAGGGGAAGAAAGGTGCCGCCAAGGGTGATACTGCAGCCTTGTATGGGATTGCGGGAAGCGTTCCTAACAGTAGTATCGTACGAGAACTCGCTGGAGGTTTTCTAGACCTCCTCTACAAGGCCTAAAGAACTCGTTCATAAGACAAGTTAAATATGCAAACAGGTGGAGGACTGAGGCAGAATGTACTTTAGTTGTAGATATCTTTCCCTTTCCCCTTCATCAATTGCACTCAGAAGACGGATGGAATTAAGAGCACATATCAATTTGATTGTTCTGCCATCTATTGCTACATAGTATCCGTCCATCAAACAATCCACAAGAAAATCCCGCTGAGAGCCCAAGAATAGGTATTGAGCATTTACTGGTCCAGACGGGCAGGGAAGTTGCCGGCCTCTTGATAGTGAGCTACAGTCAGCACGGGAATATGAATGTATGAAGGACACCGAAGGGGCATACGAACCGCGCTGGTCATCCCATCTCTCGCACCAGTTGCTGGGGCAGAGAGATCGGTAGGCTAGCTTGAACTTTGGCAAACAGTCAGAAGAATCAATTGAAGAAGATATAAGTTGGAAAATAATATTTTGCGACGTACCTGACGGCAAGGAGCGAAATCCTCACCCTTAGCATTGATGCATTTGTGGTAGTCGACATAGTTCTGCCAGCAGTGCTTGGTTTGGTTCTGGTTCGGAAAGCGGGCATCGAAGCCTAAAAGTCTTGAAGTCAGAGAGGGCAAAGAAGCTTTTTTGTCAATTCAACATAGTATTCAAAGCTTCGTATCTTAAGGAGGCGACCAATGGTATCTACATGGCCCTCAGGGTGGAACGATGATTTACGTACCGGCTGTTGCAGAGTCAAAGTTAGCATTTGGTCCGATCGGATGTAGGGATGCTTAGGCACTCACCAGTAACAAACTTGAAAGGCTTGGTCTCGCGGTCGTCGTCGGCCATTTTGAGGGCGCAGGTGTGGATCTGGATGAAGTAGAGATGACAATTGGCGGAATGTCAATCGATGTGGAGAGGAAGAGCAGTGCGACGATAGATGTGGGCGAGCTCGCTCGCAGAAACCGAAAGAGCGGCTAGCGATTTGATTTGAGCCACTTGCGGCTGGTGGGAAGAGACCGGGACACCCCCCTTCTGACGTCCGAGCTACACTTCCTTTCCCTTCACCCTTCGACCACAGAACAAACAACGTCCAATTGACGAAAACTCTGTCGCTAAAAGCCACAATGTATCCCACTCGCATTTTGAGGATGCAGCCCGCTCGCCCTCTGATGAGATCTGTGCCTGTGAGCAAATTCTTGCCCTCAAGGAACTTTGTCGCTCTTGCGCTAACCAAGCAACCTTTGCTTGACAGAAAGAGGATCAAGCAGGTCTGTCTTTAGACACCTCAAAGCCCAATTGCAACAACTATCAATGGCTTTAACCCGACATCTAGCAAAAGACGGCTAATCTTTCTCATAGCACACACCATTTCTCAGCGTATTCGTACCTTGAAGAAGATTCCCCCGGAGTTGATCCCTCTCGGTAAGTCCAACTTGGTTGCTCAATTGATTGGAGCCTAGGGCAATGAACTTTGCTAACTGCGGGCATCTAAGGTATCGTCCTTGTGTAAGGATACGCATCATAGCTTCTTTTGTGCTCGCCTTGCTGACATCTCATTGCAGCGTTGCTGTTGGCGCCGCAGGCTACTCCATGGCCAGAAAGATTACCACTGACAAGCAGCTCCGTCTTACTCGGTCGAGCAAGGAATAAGTGTCAGATTCATTTGTACATTACGGGTATTCGAGTCTCAGATATGCGCACAAATTGCAAATGGTTGTGTTATGCGCAAAATAATGTGTTGCAGCTCGGATTATTAAATATACATAATCAAATGCACAAATTTGCTCCGAGCGCCGAGTTCATTCGCGTTCGCGCTCGATATTATCTACCTTAACGCCTTTCTTCAATTGCTGAAAATGTTGACCGTGATTTTTGTTTGCTCAATCATGCAGGTTTAGGCCCAGCAACATCTAAACCTTCCAGACCCTGCATGGGATCTTGTGCTCTTTCCTCATCGCCAGATCCCGTGACAGCTACTTTATCCTCTTCGCTCACAGCATGCTTGGCTAGCCATCCCTCCTAAGAAATGTAAATCAGAGACCGTAATACTTGCAGTTTTCATGGCGAACAACCTACCTGCTCCCATATTGCAGATTTGCTACCTAATCCCTCATTGCTTTCTTTCTGTGGTTTTGCCGCGGCTACTTTGATCACTCGTCCGTAGAGCTCGCTCTGGTCCATATTATCGATGGCTTCCCTAGCATCTGATGATATTTCAAATTCCACATACCCAAAACCCCGGTGCGGTTCATGTGAAGAAGAGGCTTCAGGTTTTGGTAATGAAATATCGACTATTTCGCCGAAAGGCAGGAAGGCAGCATGCAAGGTTTGCGTGGTAACCGCATTATCGAGACCGCCCACATAGATGGTCGATTTTAATCTCGATGTATCCGCCATGATTGCAACTGTACCAGGCGTACACGCAATTGCGAAATTTATCGTGTAAAATCGGTGCTCGGAATGAAGCATTCAAACTGCGGAGAATGGCCTCGCACTTTGATATCACGTGCCTTAACTTCAATTGGGTGGTCGGCTCCTATCGCCAACCAAAGCTTAGCGTAAGCTGGCGATTGTTTCGCGAAGGCCAGATTGACGCCAGACTGCCATACGGGAGATGACAACCAAGGGGTTTCGGGCCTATACCAGCTCTACAGCCATTACAAGATACCAACATCACCCACTTCGATAATCTGCTCAATTTAATCCAATTTAACCAGCACCCTGCCGGGCTGCATGTCAAACATTTAAGATTGCGAGCTCTTTGGTCTATAAATCGGACACCACGTTATTAGCTCGGACCTCTGTAGGGTGACGTCCAATTGCACGCCATGGTCCGTCTCCGAGAGATTCCTCGGACTGCAACTTTTGCATGGTCACCAGGCACAGCCTTGCCCCTGCTAGCTACTGGCACGAAGGCAGGCGCCGTCGATGCTGACTTCTCAAACGAGACTCAGCTTGAATTGTGGGATCTAAAGCTTGGAGATTCTGCTCAAGGCATAGAGCTTCAGCCATCCGCAAGTATTGGCACGGACTCCAGGTAAGGTCTTTGCGGCGTTATTGGCATTACTGGGGCATCTCTATCATTAATAAACGCATGTTTGTCCCAGCATTGGGGTGTGTGCTAACTTAGCTAGGTTCCACGATATAGCTTGGGGTCCCGCCAGCGGAGGTCACCCTCGAGGAATAATTGCTGGAGCTCTGGAAAATGGATCATTAGATTTGTGGGATGCGGAAAAGTTATACAATGGGGCAAGGTATTAACGGGTGTCTTTTCTCCTTCAACAATTTGCTGAATCGTTCGCAGCGGATCTTTTCTGTCGAGAACGACCAAACACAGTGGCGCAATTAAGTCTCTGCAATTCAATCCCTTCAGACCCGAATTATTGGCAACAGCCGGTGCAAAAGGAGAGGTCAGGCTTCATGAACAGCGCTAATTAGTTTCCTTATTTGCTAACGTCTTCTAGCTTTTTATCTCTGACTTGAACAATGTCGCGAACCCTTTCCGCTTGGGAAACCCGGCTGCTAGAGCGGATGATTACGAAAGTCTGGATTGGAATAAGAAAGTCCCGCATATTCTTGTCACTGGCAGTAGCGGTGGATTTGTCACTGTCTGGGACGTGAAAGCTAAAAAGGAGAGTTTAACTCTTAATAATTTTGGGCGAAAACCAGTCAGTGCGGTCGCCTGGGATCCGGACGTGGTGAGTATCTCCTTTACCCTTCCTAATCACATAAGCTCACCAAGTTGTAGCCGACAAAGCTCATCACTGCGATTCCGAATGATACTGATCCACTCATTCTTGTTTGGGATCTTCGGAACTCAAATGCTCCTGAAAGGGTATGTTTTGAGCTTTGACAACGCTTGCAAACCGATTTTCTGACCAATTGCTAGACGATGCTAGCACATGAGCAGGGTGTGCTTTCCTTGTCCTGGTGTCGGCAAGATAGTGACCTGCTCCTCTCTTGTGGCAAGGACAATCGCACAATATGCTGGAACCCCCACACTGGCCAGCCCCTTGGAGAGTTTCCCGTTGTGACAAACTGGACTTTCCAAACAAAGTGGAACCCTCATAATCCCAATCTGCTTGCTACGGCATCTTTTGATGGCAAGATCGCCGTTCAAACAATTCAAAACACAAAACCTCCCACCGACCAAGTCGCGGCCTCTCAATCGCAACCTTTAGATGACGAGGATTTTTTTGCAAAGGCACAAACACAACCGCAGGTTGGTGGGTTTTCGCTCCCGAAAGCTCCGAAGTGGCTTGAGCGGCCCGTGTCTGCATCATTCGGATTTGGAGGCAAAATTGTTACTGTGGGACGCGAAGCTCCTGCAAAGGGCGGTGCTAGGACGTCAAAAATTCAAGTACAGCCTTTTGTGATAGATTCCGAAGTTGGAACCGCAACGGAGGACTTTGAGCAATCGCTGAAAGAGGGCGATCTCGCAAGCATATGCGAATCAAGAATAGCTCAAGCAAAATCGGAGGAAGAAAAGGCAGATTGGAAAGTTATAGAGACATTGATCTCTGAAAACCCGAGAAAGGGTCTGATTGAATATCTGGGTCTCTCTGCGACCAGTAGTACGATTGAGTCTCCGCCAGTCCCAGTACCAGCATCCAGCGACGCTGAGAGGTCGGAGGGAACCTTAAGTGCACTGCCCAACGGTTCAGCAAAAGCAAAGGATAATCGTCTCTCGGCTTTCTTCGAGAATACAGGAGACAGCGATCAGTTCTTGTCAGAGCTCGCTGCAACCAAGGGAGCGAAAACGAACAACCCCTTTCAGATCTACACCGGTTCTGAATCCGAGGCAGATAAGGAGATCACCCATGCGCTGGTACTTGGCCAATTCGAGAAAGCCCTTGATGTATGCCTGAAAGAAGACAGGATGTCCGACGCTTTTATGGTAGCAATATGTGGAGGGCAGAAGTGTATCGACAAAGCTCAAACGGCCTACTTTACAAAGAAGGCCCAGGGTCCTAATTACCTCCGATTGCTAGCTTCAGTTGTCGGTAAAAACCTTTGGGACATCGTCTATAATGCGGATATCGCAAACTGGAAAGATGCCATTGCCATTCTTTGCACTTACGCGGAGGAAAAGGAGTTCCCTGATCTCTGTGAGGCCTTGGGTGATCGTCTCCGAGACGGCAATGTCGAAAATGGGTCCGTTTCTGGGCTTCGAAAAGATGCTTCATTCTGTTATCTTGTCGGATCAAAGCTGGAAAAAGTTGTTTCAATTTGGGTCGAAGAGCTTGGCGAAAACGAGGAAACAAGCCTGGGACAGTCATCAGCCAATAGCACTTTCGCCATTCACGTCAGATCTCTGCAGGACTTTATTGAAAAGGTCACTGTTTTCCGAGAAGTTACCAAATTTCAGGATACGGATCGCCAGAAGTCTTCTGACTGGAAATTGTCGGCTCTTTACGACAAATATCTCGAGTATGCTGATATTGTCTCTGCACATGGCCAGTTGCCAATTGCCGAGAGATACCTTAATCTACTACCGACAAATTATCCTGCGGCTGAGGTTGCCAAGAACCGCGTGGCACAAGCGTCTAGGAAACCGACTTCAAACTTAGTTGGCCGCCAGCCTGTTGCAACCGCCAGATCAACCCAACGCGTTCAGCCGGTGATAAGTGGCTTCGCTCCCGTACAACAACAATCTGTGTTTCCGCCGTCAGCTGCGACTAATATTCATGGTCCCGCGCCGGCGCCCGTTTCAGCCTCGGCGTCAGTTCCTTCTCAAGTTCCTCCGGTAGTTAATCCGTATGCTGGTTTAGCCGCCGCTCAGCCCGCGAATCCTTATGCTCCGTCGGCAGCTGCGACAGCTTATTCGGGCTCAGCGTATCAGTCTCCGCAGCAAGCAAGCCACATCGCTGCTGTCGGACCTCCTCCAACTCAAGCCCTGGCAGCAGCAGGAGCTGGAGCAGCTCGTGGCGTACCTGCTACTACACCTTCGGTGATGCCTCCTCCACCGCCAAAAGCCAGTGCCACAGCAAATTGGAATGATACGCCTGAATTTCTCAAAACCACATCCTCTCGACGTGGCACACCTGGTGCTGGAACAGTTACCTCACCTTTTCCGAATCAACCTAGCTTTGTTGCCCCACCGCCACCAGCGCCTTTTAATGGACAGCAGAGAGCAACACCTCCTCTCGCTCCTCCGCCAAAAGGGCCAGCCCCTCCGGCTCGGATGACCTCGCCGCTCGTCAGTGGAGTTGTGCCTCATATGCAGCATCCAGATCGCCCGCCCTCTGCAGCCGCATCGGCTTACGCTCCACATGTCTCAAGCCCACAATTGGGTGCAGCTCCGCAACAACACACTATCCCCCGCGGTCCATCACCATATAACCCACCTCCTGCTGGGCCACCTTCTAGCAACCGATATGCCCCGGCTCCTCCGGCACCAGTCCCCCAGCAGGTTTCGTCACAAATGGCTCCTCCACCAACAATGGTGGCTGCTCGACCTGGACCGCCTCCTCCTAATCCCTATGCCTCTATGAGTACCGGAGTTTCACAACAGCAGTCACCAGGGAACTTTCCCCCAACTCAGCCTTTCCCCCCGCAGCCGAGCCCAGCTCAGTTCCAAGGCCCAGCGGCAGGATCAATTCAGGGGTCAAGGCCAAGCACAGCGCAGTCGCACAGGGCGCCGTCCCCTGCACAACCAAAGTTCCGTGAGTATCGATCGCTTTCACACCTTGTGATAACACCCTTACTTACGGTCAAGCAGCCCCTGGTGACCGATCTCACATTCCAGAGCAAGCACGACCTGTTTATGAAATCCTTAGTAATGAGATGCAACGTGTTAAATCGCAAGCTCCTAGCTCATTTAGAGCTCAAGTCAATGACACAGAGAAGCGTCTGAATATCCTCTTCGACCACCTTAACAATGAAGACCTCCTGAAATCGGACACAATCACCAATATGGCCCATCTAGCTGGGGCCCTTCAGTCTAGAAACTACGTAGAGGCTCAGGCGATTCAGGTCGATCTTATGACAAACAAGACAGAAGAGTGTGGACAGTGGATGGTAAGCGATACTTTAGGGTTTTTATAATGGTGCCTAGCTGACGGATAGCCTTATAGGTTGGTGTGAGAAGGTTGATTGGCATGAGCAGAGCGACCCCAATCTAAAAATGTTGGTCACGAACAAGACCAGCAACTCTTATTTATACAGGTACATATGGGAATGTAGAAAATTTTTCAGCGTGATATCATCTAAATCCTCTTTAAACTTCCATATTGGATCAATCGCCGCATTCCTATATGATCCCTGGTCTGTGTAGCACAAAGAATTTAAAGAATAGTAAAATTTCTGAGTTTTGCGCTGTACTATGAGAACCGTGTTCGTCATTATCAGTGTTCGGAGGGCTGAGAACACGTCCTCCGATAGCGTATGCCTGAAGTTTACGCTGGTTTCGCCCGGACTTTTCTTATAGTTGCCCTTAGGGATCAAATACCCACCTCAACTGTCATAGTTAAACCCCAGGTGCATGCGGTTACTCCTCTCGCGCAGTGGTGCACAACAGCGCGAGCCCGTCCTACTCCGGGTGGGTTGATCACATCTACTAGTAATGGGCATTGGCAACGGTTGGAAGGAAATGAGTATATTAACGGTTCCGATAAATGCAATTTTGGGCCGTCATCAATCCAGGCAGTGAAAACGGGCAGATTACCCATAAGCTTTAAGGTTCTGGGTTCACACAAGTGTTAAGAAAATTTTGCGGTTGTCGAAATCCAGAGTCCGATCACAATGGTTGGATTATGGCGCAAGCAAATTGAAAAAACCGACGAAGAATGAATCGTCTGTATTTTTATGCTACACAGACGCGAAGACTGCGGTGTCAACCGCGCAACTCGACCTATGCGACCCCGGCAATTTCTGTCACTCGACCAGACACGCTACCATCCGGCCCAATCAAGCCATCCCAAATTGAAAAATGTTACTTTTCCGTTTGATTATTTTGAAGAGTATTAATGGCATCAAATAATCGCCAATTTAAGCCTCCCGGGCGGGAACACGACCACGGCCGAAGCCACCACGGAACTGAGGAGCGAATTCGCCGGGGGCACCGCCCTCCTTGCCCTCACCCTGGTCGCGTCTCCGGTAGCCACCCTCTCTGTCGCCACGGTCGCGGCGGGGACCCCGTCTCTCTTCACCACCGAGCATGCCACGAGGGGGAACGTGAGAGCGCTGCTGCTTGATGTGGGTAGCAGGGACGATCTCGGCGGGGAGGTGGAGCCATTCCCGGAGGTAGTCGAGACCCTCAGGGGTGAGGGTGTAGTAGTACCATTGCCAGGAGAACTGGGTCTTCAGATAGCCGCGAGAAGTAAGGGACTGGCAAGCCTTGATGACCTGTATTACAGTCTCAGTATAACTGATGCGAAAGTTGACGGGTTTATCTAAACTCGTGTAGAGCGACGTACGTAAAGGTTCTTGGTGTCAATGTCACCGTGCTTGGGGAGGTTGAAGTCCTTCTTCGCAACGAGTACACCCTCTATTTAGCAACATTCCAAATTAGCTCGTTGTTCATTCATCTGTCAAGGCACGCCTTAAAATGCGCGTTGTAAACCGGTGGAAACCATACCGCGGAAGAGGTACTCGTGGATCTTCTTGCGGTCAACCTTGGGGATGAGCCTGCAATATAATTAGCAGTGAAATTGATAGCATATAACATTCACATCGGATTCAGAACGTACATGATTGCGGCGTGCTGGGTTATCGGTCTGCCGGGTCGGATGCTCGTCGTCGTCGTTGTCGTCGAACCCAGAATTGCGAAATTCGGGATAGGCGATGTGTGGTTGAGGGCTTGCAACCCTTAGCCCTCAGCCACACCCACCAGATGTCATGTGTTCATCAGATTGGAGGTCTTAGGCGAAATCGTGGCCACGAATCCCCGCGAATGCTCAAAACGCCACATCTAGAAGATGCGGTTTCTGCCACTAGCGCAATAAAGCGGAGCCTGGAATCTCCCACCAGCCATCGAACGCTTAGAGTAAGTTAGAGGCTGATTGGGCAAGCAACATCGTCATCTTGACTTCTACATCCTAGTCATCCAAACTCTGCATATATCAATCGGAGAAGAGCTTCAGCCATTTTCTGGCATCACTTGTCATGGCATCCCATCAGATTAACATCCTTTTGAGCTCTTTCCCCGGGCTGGGCTTGCCACCTACGCTCTCACTTCAGCTGTCACCTACTGCGTCGATATCCGACCTCACATCACAAATATGGGAGCGACTTCCAGCAATTCATTCGCGATTAATCCTAACATCCAATGAAAATAAGCAAATCTTACCGTCCTCTCTATCGGTGTCCTCACTTTTGACAAATGGAGATGACTTTTTACCCCTTCGACTATCTGTGCCTCTCTGTGGTGGTAAAGGTGGATTTGGTTCCCAATTACGTGCAGCGGGAGGTCGAATGTCATCCCGTCGCAAGAAGAATCAGGGTGAGGACAACGGATCTAACCGGAATCTTGACGGGCGGCGCCTCCGAACGGTCAATGAAGCTAAGGCTCTTGCCGAGTATCTCGCACTTAAGCCTGACATGGAGAAAAAGGAAAAAGACGAGAGACGCAAACGCTGGGAGGAAGTTGTTGCATTGGCCGAGCGTAGAGAACATGAAATCAAGAGCAGTTCAAAGGGAAAAGTGGATGGTCAATGGGTCGAAGACAAAGAAGAAGCCGGAGAAAGAACCAGAGAGGCAGTCCTGGCTGCTATGAAAGATGGACATTATCGCGACAATATTCTGAGCACTTCTGCCGATACCTCAAGTAGTAGCAATTCAAAGGGGGCAAGCGACGAGAGCGAGGACGATGCGGGGCCCTCAAGCTCGACGGCAACTTCACCGCCCTCGTCTGTTGACGTGGCTCCTGGTCGAACTTTTTTTGGCTTCGATGAGGACGACGAGTTCATGAGCGATGAGGAGGAGGAGGAGATTGAAGATGAGAACATGGATGCTGATGATTTGAATGACATCAAGGGCAAGGGTAAAGCCGCGGCTTGAGAGACCCTTTCTAATATGTGCGTTTTCCGGTTATTATAGCATGGTGTTCTGGGAAATTCTGGCGTCATGGGTTTTTCGTTCGAATGATGAGGGAATTGAAGGGCATATTAAGATATCAAATTCGTGCTTGTTATTAAGTTTTTTTTTTTTTTTTTTTTTTTTAATCAATTGGCTGGCCAGTTGTCAGTTTTTTTATT